CTGTTGTCCCGCCTCCTCCTCCCCATACTCAGGTTGTCCCTCCCCCCAACACCAAGGTCGTTCCCCCGGAGACGCAAGTGCCTCCCCCGGAGACCAAGGTTCAGCCTCCTCAGACTCCTGTTGCTCCTCCCCCTCCTCCTCCTCCTGCCCAAACTCAACGTCCTCCCCAAACACAGGCTCCTCCCCCCGAGAAGACCCAAGCTCCTCCCCCGGTCGTCACTGCCGCTGCCGACCGCTCCACCGCCGGCTTCGGAGCCCTCGTCGTTGCTGGCTTCGCCGCCATGCTCATGTAAGTCTCGGACTCCCGCTAGGGGATCCGGGCTCGCGTGCAGCCGTCGCCATGCCACCACCGCGACACGTCACGCGCGTCATCAGCTTCGGAACTGGTTGTCACTCGGCGTTTGAAAACGGACAGGCACGACAACAGCAGCAGCAGCAGCAGCAACTACTTAATTCGTCGACACTCATTGCCCACCTAATAGAGACCGTGTCTCCGACGGCAAGCAATTGAGCCCCTCTGGAATTTGGCGGTGGACTTAATATATAGGGAAGTGCTTTGCTTTTTCAACAGGTATTCGAGACCGTTTTCTCGAGGCAACTCGTTCACATATAATGGTGGAGGAGCCGAGGGTCGGGTCACCACGCTCCTTATACATACAGGTTTATTCTTAGAGAGGGTGGGGTGGCAATGTGTTCGCGTGGAAAGGGAAAAGTCTTTTTTCTTCGGTATTAATTGAACTTTTGATACCTGGGAACGTTACTTCTGATTGAGATGTGTCGTCGACTTCGTGAGCGCGTGAGTATGCTATGACAAGCCTGGGGGCCTCTAACCCACGGCGTGATAACCACCGCTCGAGGACTCTAGTATCGATCTTATCTCACGTACCAAGGCCTTCGCTTCCTCGACTTCGACGCCATCCTGACAGAGTTCCGTGGCAAGGCGGCTCGCTGTCGTGTAGTCGCCGGTGCGCATCGCGAACCTGGCCAGCCACATGCGGGCTTTGCTCGTCGCCGCCGTGACCCCCGTACCTTCAGTCGCCCCCGCGTTGTCGTCGCGCTCCTGCTGGCCGTTATCCGAGCCTGGCGGGGAGTCGTTGTGAATCATGACCGATTCGTCCAAATTAACGTCCGCGGCACCGCCATCCTCCTGCGCCACGCATAGCTCCATGTAAGCCTTTGCTTCTTCCTCCTCGTCCAATTGGTCATACATGGCCGCAATCTGCAAGAGAATCTCAGGGTCCATGTGGCCAGTAGCCCCACGGGCGCCGAGAAGGTCGCCGCCACTGCCGAAGCTGCTGCCGACATCGTAATAAGCGTCGGCGAGCAGAGCACGTTTGAGGGCCTTGATTCCGTCGCGTTCCCGACCCATCTTTTGCAGACACGAGCCGACGGCAAGCCACATTTTGCCGTCCCATGGCCGAAGGCCAGCCGCCTTCTTGTAGTACCACAGCGAGTAGGTGTGCATCTCGAGCATTTCGTATGTCTGCCCCAGTCCGTACCAGGCACGGTAATCTCGCCGATTGACATCGACCGCTCGCCTATATGATTCTATGGCGGCATGCGTATTTTTGAGTTCAACGTACTCGTGGCCCATGAGCGTCCACGCTGACAAGCAGGACCTGTCCAAAGTCAAGGCGCGGCGGAAGTACTGGACTGCCTTTTCGTGCATGGACAGCAATGAGTAGTAATTCCCGATGACGACGCATGACTCTGGTCGGAACTTGTCTACGCTGGAGCATAGATGTGCGACAAATGCTAGCTTTGGTCGTAGGTTCAAGACGTAGAGGATGTTGGAGTAATGGTCGAGCGAGTCGAGCCTGTGGGGGTGCAGAGCGAGCAATCGACTAAAATGCTGCTCGGCGGCCATCAGGTCCTTGGCGTGATACGCAAGCAGCGCGTTGCATGTGAGTAGGAATGATGAGGTGGGGAATATGGCGAGGAGTTGTTCGAGGTTGTTGGCGAGGCTGGCAGACTGCTGGTACAGCTCGAGCGATGTGTGAAGATGAAACATGAAGGATACGATGTTCTGTGGGCAATGCCTCGATATCCGGTTCAACTAGGTGTCCAAATTAGCGAATGTCAGACTTGGCATCAGATGAAGGCCTACCTCTTCGACTCTGGAGATGAGGGATGTCATCTCCAGCCAGCAGCCCCAGTTCATCGGATACTTGTGCACACTCCGGATCAAAAACTCCATGGCTTTGGAGTCGTTCTTTTCCTTGGCAAGGACCATGCCGTACCTGCGCCTTGGTGTTAGCTCCAAATTCACTGCTTTACCACCATGTGACGTACAGGTACTCGAGCCAGCCTTGACTGCCCAGGACTTCGTCATCATCTGTGGTCCTCTCATCAAACCACGCGGCAAGATATCGGCCGACGAGCAGAAGCTGCTTGTTTACCACGGTACCAAGATCCTGCGGGCCCATGACCATTTCCGACTCCTCATTCTTGCGCTTCTCTCCGGACAAGAACTTGGCGTAGAGGGCGAGGAAGAGGCTCTTCTGGCTGATCTTTGGCAGTGGGCCGGTATGCGACGGTCGCTCGTCTGTGGCTTTGGCTTTCCCCTTGCCCTTTTGCGCTGACGCCCCGGCAGAGTCGGAGTGCGAAGCAAGAACCGTCGAGAGGAGCGACTCTGGCAGGAAGACTGCGGCGCATCGGTCATACTCCTTGCAGTCGAAGAAGCTCTTGGCAAGCAGGTACTTGCTCAGCTCTTTTGCCTCCAGCGCGGCCTCCTCGGGGTCTGGATTCGGCGTGTATATCGGGGATGTGTGTTTGCCATCGCTCAGATCGACATTTTGGTCGGCGTCGTCGGGCTCGGGAAGGGCGTTCAGGAGCTCGGCTGCCCTGCGATTGCGCGCGTTAGCTTCCGGATTGACGCAGCCCGAGGAAAGAGGAGCATACCATTTTGATGACTGATAGAGACACCTTTCTGAGCACTTGACGACGGCATCCTGCAGAGCGACCCGGAGCTGGGCGACCTCTTGAGCGCTCAGCGTCATGGCGCTGTGCTGGATACGGCCGAGCTCGGGGAGCTGCGCCCGGTGCTTGCCCCGGTCTCACAGGCACGATCAGACGGAAATATGACGTCGCAATCGGTGCATTCAGTGGTAGTGTTCGTGCGTGTATGTGTTCGTCATCGACGGAAGTAGATGGCCGTGGCGGGTGATGTGCTGTGCCGTCCGGGGTCTGTTTGGACTGGCGAGCTTGTCGCAACGCGCCTTGATGGTGGTTACCGCGTATACAGTGCGGGATTCAAGACACTGTCCTCCGCACTGTCTTTGGGGGCGCTTGATTCCACAACCAACACGGCACAGTATAGGCCCCTGCAGAGGAAGGAACTGGCATCCCGATGCGTGATTGGGGGACAAGATGCACGTCAGGCTTCAAGCTTGGACTCCATTGAGTGAGAGTCGGGCTGGATGCGACCCGTGGGTTGCAGCGCAGCCGGCCAAGCGCACCCCTCTCCCGGCAGTTAATTCGACTCGAGCCAAGCCTGACAAGGAGGTTTGTCGTCCATCAGCGGAACGCCATGTCCAGCATTTAGTCCAGTGTACTGAGTAGATGACCGCGTCACGCCGTTGCCAAACTGAGGCAATGGATTGCATGTGGAGGACGCCCGCATGGCCGACTTACACTGGAGCTCAGGCCGTTGCGGTGGCCACCGGGTCTGGGGCTCAGATGCCCGCTAACCCGGCTGGCTGCCCCACCTAAAAGTGCGCTCCAACTGCCCCTCCGGGCAGCAGCATGGCCTGGCGAGGACGACGCCCCTCGACGACAGCTCAGGTACCACGACAGCTGGGGCTGGCGTTGCCCCTCGCTCTGCCCCTCACTGCGACCCTCACCGCCCGCCCAGAGGGAAAAAATCAGTGGATACCATCTTGGAATTGCGGCACTGACAAGTGGTGGGTTGGGCCTGCTCTTCCCGATTGTGCCGCTCCACTCGTGTCCCTGAAGGCTCCTATTCGTAAATTCCTCCCAAACGGTCGGTCATACCTAATCCCCTCGTTTCTTTCCTCGAATTGTCCGTCATATACCGGGGCATATCCTCCTCCCTCTCCTGTGTTCCGCCTCCTCGCGCGTCAGCCTCTCTCACCTCACCCCGCCGAAGCCGCCCCTCATCGCAACGCACAGCGCAGCCGTCGCCATGGCGCAAAAGACGACCCTCAAGGAGTTCGAGTCGGTGTACCCGAAGCTGGAAGAGGCCATCCTCGACCATGCCCGCTCCTACAAGCTGCCCGAGGCTGAGCTCAGCTGGCTCAAGAAGGTACCAATTCCCGCGCTGCCTTTTCCCTTATTCCCTTGGTTTGGGCGCGTCCCCTCGCCTGCGCAGTAACAGATATGCTGACCGTGAGTTTCTCAACTGCTTGCAGAACCTCGAGGTCAACCCCCTGGGCGGCAAGTGCAACCGCGGCATGTCCGTCCCCGACTCCGTCTCCCTCCTCCTCGGCAAGCCTCTCGACGAGGAGCAGTACTTCCAGGCCGCGACGCTCGGCTGGATGACGGAGCTGCTGCAGGCCTTCTTCCTCGTCTCCGACGACATCATGGACAGCAGCATCACGCGCCGCGGCCAGCCCTGCTGGTACCGCCAGGACGGCGTCGGCATGATCGCCATCAACGACGCCTTCATCCTCGAGTCGGGCATCTACACCCTGCTCAAGAAGTACTTCCGCTCCCACCCGAGCTACATCGACCTCGTCGAGCTCTTCCACGAGACCACCTTCCAGACCGAGCTCGGCCAGCTCTGCGACCTGCTCACCGCCCCCGAGGACAAGGTCAACCTCGACAACTTCTCCATGACCAAGTACCAGTTCATCGTCATCTACAAGACGGCCTACTACTCCTTCTACCTCCCCGTCGCCCTCGCCCTGCACCAGCTCGGCCTCGCCTCCCCCAAGAACCTCAAGCAGGCCGAGGACATCCTCATCCCCCTCGGCGAGTACTTCCAGATTCAGGACGACTACCTCGACAACTTTGGCCTCCCCGAGCACATTGGCAAGATTGGCACCGACATCAAGGACAACAAGTGCTCCTGGCTCGTCAACCAGGCCCTCGAGATTGCCACCCCCGAGCAGCGCAAGATCCTCGAGGAAAACTACGGCCAAAAGGACGACGCCAAGGAGGCCGTCATCAAGAAGCTCTTTGACGACATGAAGCTCAAGGAGCGCTACCACGAGTTTGAGGAGCGCCGCGCCGACGAGATCCGTGCCATGATTGAACGAGTCGACGAGAGCGAGGGCCTCAAGAAGGAGGTGTTTACCGTTTTCCTCAACAAGATTTACAAGCGCAGCAAGTAAGCGCAGAATGTACGCGCGGCGAGTGGAGGAGGGAGGGCTGTGGGAGCCGACGAACCCATAGAGGCCTAGCGATGCAGTCATGATGTCTTAATCATAGATACAAGGGAGACGATAATGTAGAAGCACAAAATTCTGTAGATACTGGAGCATTTTTTCGAGCTTCAGTTGCACCGCGGCCCGCCGTGTTCTTGTCGCGTCATGTGGATATCATTCTTAGCGCCTGTGGACTCCTACTAGCTATCCCCATGGATGCTGTTGCCCTGTTTCCTTCCCCCCTTGGAAATCCAAATCCCAGAACCTGCACACCGAAACAACCCTCGTCCGACATGAAGAAGCAAAATCCAATCCATTCCGTCCTTCATCCATCCATCCATCCCCAATCCCAAAGACAAAATGAACGAGAGCAATTACAAAGAAAGCACCGTGGTGGACGACGCTTTTAGCATGTACATTACGTCGGAACTTGAAAAGCAGGAGAGAGACAGACAGCTGATGCAGGGGAGTCGTAAATGTTCCTGACCTAAAAGTTTTTTGACACACTCAGACACACACGCGCGCACACACAAGTCTCGCACTGCAAGAACCGTATTGCGAAGGGAAGGTAACCCAAGAAGAACCAATCGTACTCAAAAACGCCGTCGTCGTGACACACCAGGCTTGGATAGGGACTGGACCCCTACCTCGCGCGGTTCACGAGGGGCTCGCTGGGCTGCCACTGGGGAGGTGGGCCCCGAGGTGAAGGGCCCTCCCGATGGCGGACGGACCGCTGCGGCATGGGAGGAGGGCGCTGTTCCTCGGGATAGCGAGGCCGAGGGGCGCCACTCGTCCGAGAGGCAGTGGAGCGACTGCGGCCTCGCATGCTGGGCGAGTGCTGCTGCGAGTGATGCGAGTGCTGGGAGCCCAGCGAGTTGGACGACGAGCCCGAGGGAGGGAGGCCCCTCCGGGACATACCTCGCTGCGGCGCCGCGCCGTGAGGCTGCAGGGCCTGGCCGCCGGTGGCGAAGTTGATGAGCGGCTGGCCGCCACCGCCGTGATGGCTCCTGGCGTAGCCGTGAGGGGGCTCGCCGTAGCGAGAATGCCGCTCTCCGCGATGGTTATCGGCGAAGCTGAGAAGCGGCGGGGGGTAGTGGCTGTCGCGCGAGGTGCGCCGCGAGTGATGGTGGGCGGCGTCCGCGGTCACGGGGCGCTTAGTCTCGTCGGACTGGGCGCGGAGACGGGCAGTGTGCTCTGCCGCCGACGGGAACCAGCCCTTGGGCTCCGTCTTGGTCGACGATGCGTCGGGTGACTTCTGCGCAACGCCGCCATTCAAGAGTGAGGGGCCGTCAGTAAAAGGCCCCTCCACCTTGATGACACGGGTAGATGTAGCAGCCTCGGCTGCTCGCTTGTCATATGTTGACCCAAGAAGACCGCTGGCAGCAAACTCTGCTTCCGCATCTGCGGTAGGCGACTGCGCCGTATTTGTTTTCGCACGATCCTTGGATGCCAATGTGAGGGTCCGGGTGAGCGTGGCGACATCGGGCGACTTGAAGCCGGTGACATCCCACAGCGGCTCTGCGCTCTTGTCGATGGTGACACCCAGCGTGCCATTGGGGTTGCGCCTAGACTTTGCTCGGCTTACCAAGGGCCCTTCGTTCTGAGCGGGTGCCTTGTTCTTCTTATCCAGGTCGACCAGCATGTTGGCCAGATACCAGCTCCGCCAGCCATGCACCAGCTCCAAGAATCGCGCCGCCAACACCTCGTCGTCGGTGCAGAAGAAGTGAACAAAGTTTTCGCCATTGGGAAACACAATGGTCTTCTGCTGGCTCTTGATGGCATAGCAAACCTTCTTGGGGGGCTTAAGACTTCGACGCATCTCACTCTGCTTGGGTGTATAGATGTCAAAGTCGGACAGGTGGCAGATGACTGTGCTATCCTTGTCCGAGGGGCCGGAGTGAGGCTTCTTGGACACGAACATCTGTCCACTCTCCAAGAGAGTAACCCAGCGCTTCGCCCACTTTCCAGGTCGTGAGGAGTGGTACAGCTGGACGCAGAAGCCCGACGGCGAATCCTCCGTGCGGGGCACGGAGCTCAGCTCGAGACCCTTGAGGTCCACCGGGCTGTCGGCGGGCATGATCAGGAGGGAGTTTTGTTGATCATTGTCCCAAGAGTTGAGTGTGTCACGGATGCGCTCGTACCGGCGCAAGCGGCGCTCCAGGCCAAGCGCAAAATAGCACTCAACCACGACGCTCGACGACGTGCTGAGCTGCTGCTTGGTCCTTTGCGCCACCGCCTGGATGATGTCGTCCGGTGACGTCTCGGCAGATATGGGCAGGTTCACAGTGGCAGATTGACACCTGACCATGACAATCTGTAGCACCCCGTCAGTCATGTCATTACTATGCGCACGGTCGATTGGCGGCACTCACCCGTTCGCCGCCATTGATGGCCGAGGCTGGCGCGTCGGTCTGGGGTACGATCCCCTTGCCTCCCGGTTCGATGAAGCCCATCTTGAAGGGAATAGGGGAGTCGTCTACACTGCTTCTATGGCTAAAGTGGCTCAGGGCCGGGGAGAAGATGGAAGGGGCGAGAGTGTCGGGAGTGCTAGGCTGGCTGCTGCCGTGATTGGACTTCTTCCCGCGCGATACAAAGAGCTTCTCAAGGCCAAGCAAAGAGCGTTTTGGCTTGGGCGGCGTTTCCAATGTGGCCTGCAGCCGGAGGAGATCAAGCTTCTTCTGCTCTGCGAGGATGCGATCAGTCTCCGCCTCGAGGCGAGCGACCTCTTCGGCTACGCGGTCGGCGTCCTCTTCGGTGCCCTGGCTGGTAGTCTCGTGTTGATACTGCTGCACCTGCTTCGACGTCTTCTGCTGCTGACCCCGGTCGGGTGATACGGATGCCAAGTCTTGTTGGTAGTGCTGCCTCTCAGCAGAGTGGGAGCTTTGGGCCGCAGCGGGCGACTCTTGTTTGGCCCGCTGCTGCTGTTGCTTCGGCTTCTGAGGTGTCTGATAAGCCTCTTTGGGTTGTGTGGCGTCAGCAACGGGAGCCTCTCGCGTGGCCGCGTCGTCTGATCTCTGGTCGAGATCCTGCGGCTCGTATTGCTGGTGTACCAGCGGCGGCGGCGACAGGTTCTGTTCTTGCGCCAGGGGGTGCCGCTGGAAGTTGTCCTCCTGCTGGCACTGCTGATAGTCGCCTGGCTGCTGGGAGTTGTCCGAGGGCTGGTAATAGCGGTCCTGTTCCCGGTATTGCTGCTCGTTCTCCGAATAATACGGCTGGTGCTGGTAGTAGTCCCGCGGTGGAGAGTAGTCCTGCGCGTAGTAGGGTTCCTGGTGTTGCTGGTGGTGGTACTGCGACGCGGATACGGGCGATGCCTGCGGGACGGGGGAGCGAGGGCCTCGACTGGGGGTGCCTTGCTTGGGTCTACGCTGTTGGCGCTGGTGACGATGTTGGCGCTGCTGCTGGTGATGGTGGTGGTGGTGGTGGTGGTGCGCCGGCGAGTGCTGCGAGTGCTGGGACTGGGGCGAGGCGGAATTGGAGCCTGGATGGCGTCTGTTATAATAGCCGTGATCGTGCTGCTGGCCTCTTCCGTTGACGGGCGCCCTGGGTCGCGTCGAATGCGTGTCGCGACCGCGGTATACGGGTGGTGGTTTGACGCCCTCGAAGGCTGCGACGCTGGGATCGACAGAAGCGACGTTCACCGGCTTGGGGCTCAGGGCACCAGATGTGGGGACGGTGCCCCTGTAAGACGGGACAGGTCGCGTGCCACCACTGCCGTTGGCGCCACCTCTGAGATTGGCGGCGGTGGAGGGGAATGATGATGATGTGATGGTGGTGGAGGAGGTGGTGGCTGCTGCTGCTGCTGCTGCCCCTCGTGTCGTGCCGGGCCCTGCGCTGGCGCTGGTGTTGGCGTCGCTCCAACCCGGCGCCGTCGCCTCTGGACCCCCTCGCTGCTGCTCGTGGTAGTGGTGGTGGTGGTGGTACCCCTGCGGGCTGCTGTCGTCGTACCCGTAGTGGTAGTTGGTCGGGGGCGTCGTGACGCTCTTGGAGCGCCGGCGGGCCGCCTTCTTGGGCGTGTCAGTCGAGTAGCACGACGAGCTCTGGCTGACGCTGTGGACGAGGTGGCCTTGGAGATGATGACCCTGAGGATGAAGGCCTTCTTCGTCGCTGCCGCTGTTCGAGGGGCTGTCGCGGAAGACGTCAATGGCGCGCGGCGACGACACGCTCTTGCCTCGCAGCTTGCGGAAGCGGGAGCCCGATGTGGGCGCGAGGTATTGCTGCGGCTGCGTCTGCGTCTGCGTCTGCGGCTGCTGAGTGTGTTGCTGAGTGTGATGCTCATGCTGCTGCTGGTCGTGGCTTTGTTCCTGGTGCGGGTGTTGGTGCAGGTGCGGGTGCGGGTGGGCGAGCGCCACACGGGCTCCCACAGCAGCGCGAGGCGCTATGCTGGTTCGCCGCCAATTCGGCTCGGCGGCGGCGGCCATGCTGAGGTGAGCTGAGGTCCCGTCGGGTGGTTCGAGCGGTCGCGACAGGGAGTGCCAGGGGGGTCCCAGCAGCGCCTAGGTACTCGTACAGGCAGGGTGCGGGAAGGGCCACTGGACTACCTGAGGCGGACAGGGGAGTGCCTAACCACACCTACAGGTCCTTCTGAACCAACGGTGGCTGGCCCTCGTCCTTGTTTTCCGAGGCCCGTCCAGAAGCAACCCGGCCGTTGGCCTTCCTCTTGCGCAATCTTGCAGCCGCCACGGAGCAGGGTCCAGGTCCGCGATCCCGGTCCACGGACGGTTCGGCGGCGCCTCTGGGCTGATCGACGATCGCGCGCTCGGCGAGAAGCGACAGAAGGACGACGACGGCAACGAAACGCGGTACGTACAAGGCGGGAAGAGTGAGCGCGCGCGAGAGAGAGACTGACTTGACTCTCACGGCGAAGAAACCATGGCGAGTCGGGGGAAAAATAAAAAGCTGAAAAGCAATGAATGACCGACTGTGCGAAGAAAGGAGCGTGTGAGTGTGTGTGAGTGAGCGAGTGAGTGAGTGAGCGCAGCAACCAGTCAGTCAGCCAGGCAGCACGACGAGCAGTTGAAGCGTCGAGAGTCGAGGGCCTCAACACGAAGAGGACGAGCGAGAAAGAAAAGAGTCGCCCGTCGCGTCGCCCTCGACTGGCATCTTTCGTGTCGATAGCATCCTTCGCCGCTCTCCCTTGCCTGGCAATGTTTCTGCATGCCCATGCTCACGATCATCTACCGCGTGTGAGGGCGCGCGTCTCGACATCTCAGACCTGCGAATTCCTTCTGTCTGCATGTCTCGGGATCGAGCCTCGCTCCCCCTCTCGCCATCCATCCATCCGCCACCCAACAGCAGCCACCACCACTTCCACTTCCACTCCCGACGACGCATGGGACGTCCGCCCAACTGCGGCACCACGGTCCTCGTCTCGCTCATCTCCCACATCTCAGACCCCGAGGCCCCCAACATCATCGATGCGCATGTGGCTTGCCCGCCATGCCCTGTCTCGTCTGCAGCATCCTGCCGCGACGCCCCCAATTCCTGCCCAAGGCGGGAGTGCCCTCATTTCACTTTCCAAAATTGGGCCTATGCGTTTTCGACGACGTGCGCGCGTGGCGGGCTGCATTGCTGGCGACACGACCTCGCCGAGAACCTCGTGTCATTTGTGACGGCGCTTGCGCCGCCAAAGAGCCTTGACCAGCCCTCGGGCCATCAGCCGAACCCTGTTCGCCTCGCCTCCCATGGCCCAGTAGATGAACGGTTTTTTGCACTCCCGAGCCCATCTGCCAGCCAACGACCAGACCCCGGCCCGCCATCTACAACAGGCAAGCTGTGCCAACATCATCAAGTGGGGGAATCGCAAATCATCCTCCTTCTCCTCCTCATCATCGTCCTCGTTTTCATCCTCGCCCTCGTCCTTGGCCCATGCGTCACCGGTCGGACCACCCGTGGTCGATCTCACTCTTACTCTTTTACTTGCGAAAGGCTCCTACCTCGCGCCGCCACCAGTCGGTAAAGTTGATGGTCGACACGTCGATGCCCAGCTCCTGGAGCCCCTTTGTGCTCAAGTGGCAGTCGTACGGCCTCTGCACCGCGGCGTTGGGGTCATTGCCCTGGGTGTCGGGCTCGATGCCCGCCGTCGACAGGCCCATGATGTCGCCAAAGCGCTGGCAAATCTCGTACTTGGTCACCTTGTCCTCGCTCGAGAACTGCAGGATCTGCGGGAGGTTGTCCCGACTGCTGTCCGCGCTCAGGTACTTGATTGCCACGTCTGGTCACGGAGCTGTTAGTCCCCGGGCGATCCATATGCGCGACAGCATGCCAAAGCGTGGGAAATGAGGGCGGCCTATATGAGACACACAACATCGCGGGGAGGGGCTGTTCGTGAGACACAACGTAACGTACCGCGACACACGCGCCCGACGTCCTCAGTGTTCGTCGGGTAGCGCGCAGCCCAGTGGTCCATCTTGACCTTGACGCCCTCGGTCTGTGCCTTCCACACCGCGTCCATGAGCACGTTGACGGCACTCTCCGACGGCGTCTCGGCGTGACCATACAGCACGGGGACGCGGAGCACGACGGCGGAGCCCTGCTTGCCCAGCTGCGCAAAGGTGTGAAGCACGGCGCGCTCGCCGTCCAGCTTGGTCTCACCGTACAGATTAGTCGGGCGCGGGTTGGAGAAGGCCTCGTACGGGGCGTCGCCCGGGGTGCCGGGGAAGACGTAGTCGGTGGAGATGTAAATCAAAAAGATCTTGCGCCGGGCTGCGAGGGAGGCGAGGCTCTCCGTGGCAGCGACGTTGAGGGCCTTGGCGCCCTCCGGGTCCTTGTCGACCTTGTCTGGAAACCTCTGGGCCGCACCTGGGAACGTGTCAGACAGCGTGCTCAAGGCGGGCGGGACGGCAGCGGCGCTCACAATGAACGATGACCCGCGGGCTTGGTTCATGGGTTGACGCAGGTCAGCGGGTGGGTTCGTCGCTGCGGAGCCGGGAAACGTTATGTAGGGGCAAGGGGAGGAACAGACTTGACGTCGTCCAACGCCTTGGCGAGCGCGGCCTCGTCGTTGAGGTCGACCTTGAGCACGTCGACGCCGTCGGCGCGCGAGTAGCCCAGGCCCTTGGCGTTCCATCCTCTCATGCGGAACTGGTCGGCCACGGCGCGGCCGAGCAGGCCCGTGGCGCCGGTGACGAGCACGGTTGCTCTCGCCATGCTGCGTGGTGTTGTGCGAAGATGGTGGAGCTGTCAAGAAGAAGTCGTCTGGATTGACGGTGACCAGCGAGGTTGCAAATGGGTTACGCTGCTGCTGTTGTCGAGTCGTCGACGGTCAAGGCCCCTCTCAACCCTATGTATGTGATAGCGGAGCTCGATAGTATCGAGAAAGTGGTGGTGGGGGTGGGACGCGGCCCGCAGACGTGAATGAGGGGCAGGAGGAGCAGCATGGAGCAGCACGAGCACCCGCAGGAGCTCTTGTACCGTCTGCAGTCCCCCGCCAAATCCGTCGCCTGCTGTGACGTAAATGCGCTCACTCACTCACTCGCCCGCTCACACTCTATTCTGTAAAAATGTACGTGCCGCCTCGCGAGGCGTTCGGGCTCCCCCTGCACCCGGCCACGAGGGGATCCCGCAATAAGCAGCGCCCGCCGCGCGGGGGGCCTGGGCTTGCCGGGCCTCAGCTGCGGTCCGTCGTCATACGATGCGTGCATTCAGCTTTTTGCGGGCGTAAAGTGTTTCAGTTCCGTCATTGCGGTCCCGTCACATCGCTCGGCGGCGCGGCGGCCGCTGTCCTTTGTGCGATGGAGTTGCCGCTGACCGTTCAGCCCCTCCCGCTGCTGCGCCCGATGGGAGCGCAACAGGAACCCGTCACTGCCGCACGGCTTGCCGCTGCCCGGTTGCACAGGGACGAGACACGGACGCGCGGGGGTGGCAATTATTCTCTAATCCGTGCTGAAGACGTGTTTGTTGTACAAATATCAGACACGGAGGCGGCTTCCGACTCGCTTGCCAAGCCGCGGAATTGTGAATATGTTGTGTAGGGTAACCCGACCAGACGTGGCCCAAAACGGGGCGGGCGGGGAGCGTGTGCTACAGCTGCTTGGACTGCCCTGTAACTATGCGGTCCTGTCGGGCATGACGGCCAGCCTATCGGGTTCGCCCCATATTTTTTTTGGCCTGCAGTGCCGTAAACTCGTAGCTTCGATTCCAACTTGACGACCATCCCGTCACTCTCCCAAACCTCAAAGACGCACACCCACGTCGCACACCGTCCGCCATCATGCCTCCCAAGCGAATGACGGCAAACCCCGTCCGCCCGGGGCGCCACTTTGCCGGCAAACCCACCGGCGCCGCCTCCTCGTCCTCCGAGTCCGACAGCGACGACGACAACGCGCCCGCGGCCGCCGCCCCGAAGCGCAAGGTGCCGCCCCCGCCCAAGGCAGCCAGCGCGGGCAAGATCATCAGCCGCGGCCTCGGCAGCATAGATCTCAACGCGCGGCGGCAGGAGCTTGAGAAGGAGGCTGAGGAGCGGCGACGCGCCGCGCAGCGTGCCGAGAAGCTCGCCGCCGAGCAGGGCTTCGTGACGGAGGATGAAGATGAGGAGAGCGAAGGCGAGGAGGAGGACGAGGAGGACGAGAGCGGCTCTGAAGAGGAGGAGAGCAGTAGCAGCGAGGAAGAGGCCCCGAGACGACTCATGATGCGCCCCAAGTTCGTACCCAAAAACCAACGTAACGGCGCCGGCGCCGGCAAGGACCGCCCCGACGACGAAGCCGCACGCCTCGCCGAGGAAGAAGCCAAGAAGAAGGCCGCGGCCGACGCCCTGGTCGAAGAGCAGATCAAGAAGGACCTCGCCGCGCGCGCCGCCGGCAAGAAGCACTGGGACGACGAGGAGGACCCAGACTCGGACGTGGACACGACGGACGGGCTCGACCCGGAGGCCGAGGAGGCGGCGTGGCGCGTGCGCGAGCTCAAGCGCCTGCGCCGCGCCCGCGCCGCCATCGAGGAGCGCGAGCGCGAGCTCGCCGAGGTGGAGCGCCGGCGCAACCTCACGGCCGAGGAGCGCGCCGCCGAGGACGAGGCCCACCTGGCGCGCCAGCGCGAGGAGAAGGACAGCAAGGGCAAGATGAGCTTCATGCAAAAGTACTACCACCGCGGCGCCTTCTTCCAGGAGGAGACCGAGGCGGCGGGCCTGCTGCAGCGCGACATCATGGGCAGCCGCATCCAGGACGACGTGCGCAACCGCGAGGCCCTGCCCGAGTACCTCCAGCGCAGGGACATGACCAAGCTGGGCCGCAAGGGCGCCACAAAGTACAAGGACATGCGGTCCGAGGACACGGGCAGCTGGGGGCAGTTTGACCGCGGGGCCGGACGAGGGGGCGGGCGTGGTGGAGGTGGACGGTTCGATGGCGATGACCGGTTCAGGCCGGATGACGACAGGTTCAAGCCCGACGAGAGGGACGCCAAGGGCGCGAACGCGATACCCCTGGGAGACCGCAAGGAGAGGCGCGATGACGACAGACGAGATCGGGGCGACAGTTACCGCCGGCGCAGGTCACGGACGCGGTCGCGGTCGCGGTCGCCGAGGCGGGATCGCGACGAGGACTACAGGCGGAGCCGCAAGAGGAGCACATCCCGAGACGGGGACCGCTCCGACGGGGACAAGAGACGGCGGGTGGACGTCGAGGCAGACAGATGACGGAGGAACAGGCGAGGCATACCGCCCGCCGCCTGCCGAGTGTTGTTGTATTCATACGTGTTGTCACATCAGGGCTATCAAGTGTCGTAGCCAAAAATTACAAAGCAATATACCCCCCACGCGCCGACCCTCTACTTGGGCGCGCGCCACGACCAAATGCGGCGGCAGTCGCGCACCGAACATCTCTCAACGTGCCCCTGTCCTGACTGTCTACCCTTTTTCATATCCTCACAATCTCGACGCGCGCTCTGTGGAACACCTTGTGGCTCAGCATCCTGTCGCCGTGCTCGCCGTCCGTCTTGGGCGGGTACAGCGTCATGCGCGCGTACGTGCCTGCACCCTTGCGCTTGGACAGGTAGCCCGGGTTCACGGCAAGCACACTTTCAACGACCTGCGAGATCTCCTGCGTTAGAACTCATCCAGGAACAAGAAGCAAAGGAGGGGAGGGGAGAAGGCGTAGAGACATCAGAAGAGAAGGAGGCTTACCCTTGCGAATGGCGGTAGTGCGCTAGGCACGAGCATCACGTCTGGCCGCACGTTGACCATCTCACCCAGCTTCAGGTAGCTCACGTCGAGCACCGCCCCTGTCGCGACGCCCTCCTCGGTGCCCGTCTTGGGCAGCCGCGCCCTATCCGCGGCGGGCCACAGCGGGAAGTAGTGCCGCTGCTCGACGAGGTACTTGACCAGCCTGCTCATGAGGTCGCCCCCAGCCGCGGCGGCGGAGACGCTGTTCTTGGGCGGGGCGAGCTCCTCGGCGCGCAGCTCGTAGAGGACGTCCTGGCTGGAGACGCCGAGGACGACCTCGTTGACGGACAGGGTCATGGGGTTGGTGACGATGCGCACCGACTTGGGCAGGCCGAGCTCCTTGCGCGGGATGGTGTCCTGCGGCCAGGAGACGTGCTTGGCGAGGAGGTCGCGCACCGAGGGGACAAGCACGACGGTGAGGTGCGGGTTCGCGGACGCGAGGCGCGTGAAGGCCGGGGCGACGAGGTAGCGGAACACGGTGGCCATAGTGGCCGTGTCCGGGTCGTGGTTGGCCTCGTCGGGGAGGTCGAAGTCGCCCGTCGCGATGAGCGGGTGGTCGACGTCGAGGAACGGGCCCGTGAGGACGAGCGCGTCGGCGTACGAGTCGGCGGCCTGGCTGCACAGCGCGTGGAGCGGCTCGTAGTCGAGGTTGTCGTCCGCCGTGTAGGGGCCCGAAGCGAAGATGATGCTCAGCGGCGCGGGCTCCGCGTCGGAGTCCATGGCGTCGGGCCCGCCCCGCAGCTTCTCCTTGACGCCCTCGAGCGTGGCGGCCGAGGACGCCGCGTTGGGCAGCAGCGGGATCTCGAGCACCTCGTTGACGACGAACTCGTTGCCCGTGGCGTTGCTGCCCCTGAGGGCGACGATCTGACCGGGGAAGCAGCTCCACGCGCGAATCTTCTCCGTCCGCAGCGGCACGCGGAACCCCATGCCTGTGCGGCGCGACGTCTCGAGCACGAGCGACGCGGCATTGAGCTTGCCCTCGAGGGAGTCGGACGCGATGCGGCCCACGGCGACGATTTCGGTGGTGCTCTGCGCCGCGGCGTTGCCAAACGCCGAGTCTTCGAGCTGGTGGTGTTCCTGCACCAGAGCGAGGAAGTCGTCGATGCGGTCGTCGAGAATCTCGCTCGCTTCGGAGAGCTTCATGGCCAGGGGCCGGTACGCCATCTTCTTCTGGTCGGAGCTCGCGGCCAGCTTGATCCTGGGCTCGGCGTACGGGGCCATGGGCGCTTCGGCGGCGGGCAGCTGGTCGTTGAGAATCTCGATGACTTCGCCGGGGTTTGTCCTGTCGCTAAAGGAGGAGATGCTGTGTCTCGTCAGTACTTGGTAGTTGCCTGCTCCATGTATGAAGTGACGTACGGCACGTTATGCATGGCGTTTAACTGATCCCTCATCCCGCCTGCTGGTGAGCTCCCCGGCGCACCACCCTTGGGAGTATCGATCCTCCTCCTCGCCGCGCTCGCGCTGCCAGGCCCTCTGCTCAGCTTGCTCGCGCCCGTCGCCGGCGTGCTGGGCACCAAGCCATCCAGCATGCCAAAGACGTCTGCGCCGCCGGCCTTGGGCGTCGCATTGACCTTGCGCTCCGTCCGGACCTGCTGCGCCTGCTGCCGGTGGCTGCTCTTGTCGAGCTCGTCCTGGATGCTCTGCTTGAGGCCGCGCACGTTGCGCAGCGAAACGTCCTGCGCGTCGAGGTCCAGCTTGATGCAGTACGAGTCCCACTTGTAGTAGAGGTCCTCGGCGGGCAGGTCGTGCAGCCGCATCATGGACTGCAGCTCGGCCACGACGTCGGGCTCGAGCTGCTTGTTGGGGGGCGCGAAGCGGGACTGGATCTCCGCGTCCGCCATGGTGGGGAGGTTGGTGTCGTGGTGGTGTCGATGCAGTGATTGGCGGTGAAATTGATGCGCGCGGAATCTTCTTCTTGGATTTCAATTGCGAGATGCGGCCGTCGTGGTGCTGTGTCGACGTCTTGGTGGATGGTGGGGTGTGTGAAGGACGCGGCTGGGAGACGCGTCGCAGCAGAGGCGCGTTAAGTGGCGCCCCACTGACCAGACGGGCCCATACCTGCGACTGCCAGTACCTTATACCACCACCCGTGAGCGGGCAGCTCAGATGACAGCTTTCCGCGGCATTGGGAGGGCAACACTCATAGAAAAACGTAAAATACAAGCAAATGCGCACTGTTGCGCAGCCAGTATATTTCGCGCTTTAGCAAGTTTGGAGGGAATTCATCTACCCCAAGCCACTTATCCGCAACCGGCTCTGGTATCCTCAAGCCGACTCTGTCCGCTTCTCTACTCGCGCCTTGGTATCCCCATCGTACATATCCTTCCATATCCTGACGTCTGCCACGCCCGGCAGCGTTTAAACTCCATGCACCCATGCTCAAAAACAAAAAAACTCTCATTCGTCATAAACTTGATGCGCCCGCTCGGCGCTTCAAGGCGGATTCAAATGCCCCTTTCCACGATGCTCAGATGTCGCCAGGGTCTGGTGCTGAGTTGTCCATGGGCCACTGGCTCGGGTCCCTAGCCGAGTCGTTGAACTCGAACCTGCTCTGCGATGGAGAGCTGGGCATCATGCCGTCCGTGCTAAAGATGGCGTAGTAGTCCATCATCTCCGAAGTCATGTCCAGCGCGGGTAGCAGGCTCATGTCCATGTTGTCCGACATGTCGAAGTGGACGGGGTCTGAGAACTCTGAAAATGCCTCGTTGATGGTTCGCGAGATGGGCGTCTCCCCAAAGGCCCCTTGGTGGTTGCGTGGGCTTCTCCTAACGCTGACGCTTCCTGGGACCCCGAGCCCCCCGCGGGGAGTCTTGCTGGGTGTCTGCTGCGGCAGCGCCAGCGCCTGGCTCGGCGACTCCATCAGCAGCCGTCCGGACCGCAACGACTTGGACGCACTCCTGGTGACACTTCTAGTGATCGGTCGGTGGCTGGGGGTGGGCCGCGTCGGCGTCTTGAACGGCCCCGTCGACGCATTTGGCTTCGCGACAGGGGGCGGTGTCGACGGTCGTATCACTGGGCTCCTAAACAGGGAGTCGTACTCGTCGCTCCCCTGGTCGGCCTCCTCTGCCGAATTCTCCTTTTCCTCTTGCACAAACTGCTTCAGCCGCTGGAACTCGTCAGAAATCTGCACAATGTTCACATCCACCTCTCCCAATACCTTCATCTCGCCATCCTTTCGCGGTGAAGGGAACAGCAGCCTCTTGGTGCTGCCGACGGCCTCGTCAAAGGCCAGGTCAATGGGGCTCTTTGCGGTGCCACTGCCGCGCGAGTGCGTCGATCCGGGGTTCGAAACTGCGTCCACGGAAGTGGCGCGCGTAACGGCGTCTTGACTCTCCTCTTGAGGAGCATCCATCTGAGGCAGATCGGGCTCGGGCAGCTTGGGCGACGAAGGCTCCATGGGACCGAGCCCATCGGTTGGCAAATACGCTTCGGACGTGAGGTTCGATTGCAAGTCGCTCTTGGACCGCGGCTTCTTCGGTCGCGGCACCGTCCGTCCGGTGCCCTTCCTGCGGCGCTCCTGGCCAAGCCTCTCGAAATCCTTGTCCCAGCGGTCTCGCGGGCGATGGACCTTGCTCTTGCAAAGCCAGATTCCACACGGATTGCACAGCAAGAACTCCTGCCAAGGGGCCTTGTCCTCCTTGGGTGCAAGACTCTTCTTGATGACGCGATACTTGACCACCTTGTCGTTCTCGTCTCGCTCAACCACCTCAAAGGCCGTGATCATGCCTGGCTTCTCTGAGAATTCAACTCCCTCTGGTAGAGGTCCTTCCTGGTCCTGCACCCAGATCTTGCGCCATGTAGGCGTCTCGATATTACCGCAGTTTGTGCAAAACGGCGGCAACTCGCCGGCATTGATGGCTTGCTCGAGACGCTGCTTAATGGCGTTCTTCTTGACAATGTTCTTGTTCGATCTCGTTGGAGGCGACGACACAGGCGGGAGGAAGCTGTTTGACGGCTCAGGTTCGGGCAGATGCAGCTCTGAAACACGAAGGTTGGAGCTGCCGGGCCCGACAGGGTCGCTAGCAGGCATGGGCAAGGCGAGAGGACCCGATGAGGCAGCACGCTTCAGCATCGTGGGCGCTGGAGGATCCGGATGAGCCACGGTAGACTGTGAAAGCGAAGAGGGCCCAGCTGGTTCGCTGGCTGGCACTTGGGGTAGAGCCAAGGCCCCTGCCGACTGAGACCGAGCCAATGTACGCGACTTTGTCGGCCTGGGAGCTTGAGCCGGCTGTTTTTGCGGCTCATTTGATGCTTTTGTTTGCTGCTGAGGCGATGTCTCCCTTGGAGACGCAGCTTCGGGGGAAGTCTGATTCGGGGCCACCAGGGCCGCGCCATCTCCCATGTCATTGCTCTGAACGATGCCCTGCATCGGCTCTGGGTCCGCCCCCAGATTTGGGCTCGCGTCGCTCTGGGCCATTTGGTTACGCACTGGGCTAGTGGGCCTCGCGGCATCGGTCGTAGGAGGTGGCGTGGGCTGCATGATGGCCTGGGCCGGAACAGCAGGCGTCTTTGTCTTGGGCTTCCTCTTTGCCGGAGCGCGTTTTCTCTTTGGCGCGGGTTCGTCCTTGAGAGGCGGTAGGGTCGGGGCGTCGCTAGAAGGTGGTGGTACGGGTGGAAACTGCCGTGGAGGCGCCTGCGGTGCGCCCACCTCGTGAGGTGCCCCTTGATATACGGGCGGGTAGCCCGAGACGGCTTGTTCGCGATACGGGGCCGGAGCATGGTTCGGGAGCGGCGCGCCATTGATGCTGCGCAGGAACACCAGGTCCTGGCCCTCGGGACCATCCTGCATCTGAAAGATCTGGATAGGGACTCCATGTGCTCTTGTGGGGGCGTTTGGCTTCCCGGTAGCTGATCGGGAGGACTCGTTGCCCTTGGCGGCTGTCTGCACAGGCTCCTCGCCAAAGAGATCCTCCAATTCATCGTTGACTAGACTGGACACGGGGGGCTCATCCTCTGCTCGTGTCGGCATTGGCGGTAGGATCGGGCTCGAAGCAGGTGGGCTTGACCGAATCATCGGTGGCCGGCGCTGCATCGGAGGCGAAGAGCTGATGTCGGGAGTGCTTCCATCGGAGAAGGGTGTGATGGCAACAGACTCGGGTGAGCGGCCATCTTCCTGGCCAGGAGACAGAGGCTGCAGTCTTGATTCGGCGTACACAGAGGCGGCATGCTGCTGGCTGAGCGTGGACTCTCGTCGAAGTTTGCTCGCGTTCTGATTCCGTCCCGACGCTCCGCAAAAGGGGCCTCCCTCGGGGACTGGAGTGGGCGCGCGGGGAACCTCTTGCAGATGGCTGCCTGGAGCCTCGTTGGTGGACGACGCAAGAGGACGAAAGTTCCTCAGCGACCCAGAGGTGCTGGCGACTACGCGAAGCGACTCTGGCCCGGTGGCAAAAGGGTTGACAGGGGCCTTGCTTTCCACAACGGTGGCTTTGGTCGTCTTTGCCCGCTTCTTGGGTTGGGCCTCTTCACCTTCAGTGACAGGTTCCTCCGCGCCCGAGGTGTTTCCATCAGCCGGCCTCTTTCGCGGGCGGCCTCTAGGACGCCCGGTCGGTGGCTTCTTCGTCCGTGTTCGGCTAGAAGCTCGGCTCGAAGGTCTCGAAGCCGGACGGCTGGGTTGCTCGCTGGGTTCAACTGGGATCGGAGCCACCCGCTGGATTTCATTCGCGGCGGGTGACAACGCTTGCTGGTACCCCGTCTGGGGGCGAGAAGGTCCCTGGTCGTTGGGAACGGGGAACTGGCCCTGGCTGCCTGGCTGCACGTTCGGAGGAAGGTTTCGCCGCGATGGTGCGTCCGAGAGGTTGGGCATCGGGGCTCGGCCCTGCGAGTAGACTGGCGAGGCGATGCGGGCGACTTGGGCCGTGTGGCCAAGCTGGGGATTTGACTGCATGAAGGAGTCCCACTCGGACGTGCCCAAGGGGGTCATGGCCTGCTCGGAGGGTCTCTCCATATACTGGTGCTCCGCATCTTGGTGCTCCATCTGCATGGTGTGGTGTTGCACCGGAATGCTCTGCTGGGCATTCATGCTCATGTCCTGCGGCGTCATGGCCTCATACCCATGCTGGCGGACGGGCTTGGCTTCAGAGAGAGTGAGCTTGACCTCGAGTGTCTCCTTGTTGCCGCCGCTAAACATGGCGAGGAGATTCTTGGTGACGCGTCCGATGACCATTTTGGGCGGCGCGCCGTTGCCGCGAAGCGAGTCGAGAGCCCTCGAGAGCATGCCCTGGCCGACCAAGGGCGTGTTGGGCTCGGAGTAGTCGACGGCATATATGCTGTAGTCCGTGTCGGAGTTGGCCAGCTCAGGGCTGCAGTCCATGATGGCGTGGATGCATGCCCGAAGGTCGACGATGCCGATCGAAGACGTCTCGTCGACGGGGACGGTCCGCACCTGCAAGGTATGCGGATGGCGGGCCAGGCAGTTGACCTTGGAGTCCTTGTCGAAGGTGTAGTGGACCTTGACTGCGGCAACGAGTTATGTTAGCAGCCTGGAAGCAGGGAGAGACGCGGGAGCAGGGAACAATCGCGTACGGCCCATGGACCTGACTTGCAGGCCAGATTCGTCAACCGGGGCCTGGTTCTGAGCAGGAGCCGACATCATGGCCTGGCCGGGGCCGCCGTTCCAGCCTACACTGCAGCCCGGCGAGGGCGCGTGTGGCCGAGGCGTCGCCATGAGATGCCGGGAGCTCCCCTCGAGGCGGGGAGCGGTTCAAGGGCGCGCAGGCGAGCAGGTTGGCGGTGGGCGCGTCGCTATTCGGATGCTCGGTGGAATTGGGGGGAGAATCCGTTAAAGATGGAGTAAATGGAGAGCAATGGAGAGAAAAGAAAGAAAAAAAGGATATAGAGGAGCGCGTAAATGGGTGGAGGGGGGAAACAGGTGGTGGTTTAATTGAGGCGTGCGCGATTCAAATTGGGGAGGCGGGTGTCATGCTGCGTGAGGTGGGTGTTCGTTTCGTGCCGTGCCCGTGGGCGTTCGTGACGCGCCAAATCCACCCTGGAAGTCGCGTCTGCGCGGGTGGGCCCGCCGCCAGATCGGGGGCGGCGCTGCGGCCCGCTGGGTGCTGCTGCTGCTGAGGTGCTGCACCACGACGTCACCCTCTCTATGCACTCGTTTAGGAGGGGAGGGGGAATCTCCGATAGATTGCAAGCGAAATAGTACGCGCAGGAAATACTAGAATGTGAATAGGGAGCAAAGTTCGATGCTTGTCGTGGTGCTGGTGAGGGTCCCTTATGGTGGCGCCGGCCAGGGCGAGGATGATGAGGCAGCTAAGATTTGCCAAACGCGTGGACCCGCGAGCAAAGAAAATGGTTGATTGCAGCTGGCGGAGGAGACTTCAATTGTCGGAGCTTGAGACCCCCAAGCCGGCGTTGAATAGATTGTTCAATGATGTTCAATGGCGATTATTGTTCGCTGGCGAGATAATAGCGTGTAAGTCGCAGCACTCTTGCAGTGGTGCGCAGCCGCTGAGCGGTAGACCTGCAGGCGCTGGGCCGTTTCCCGTTCGGCGCCTAGGGCGTTTTAGCGCGCCTCGCTGAAACCGCTCAACGCGGCCGCGAGCTCCGTATCGGTGGCTCCCCGTTCCATCCGGACGCGCCAACGCACGTGACGCGGGGGACGGAGCCTCAGTGGGGATTTCGGGACACAGGGAGGGCAGGGGGGCGCTGGAGGGGCGCGCTGGGATCCAGCGGGCGGAATGCACGGCTCTTGTCCCGGACGACGGCTCCGGCTCGGGTGGGGTTGCGCTGGCGCTGGAGTGCCAGATGGTAGGCAGCCAGTGCCGCAGGTATGGATGTTGTCTCGGAACCTCTTTTTGGCAGTGGTGGGTGTCGGCGGGAGCAACCCTCGACCAGGCATGTGCCAGAGCTTTCTGCGCTCTGAGCTGCCTCTCCGGAGTTAAGTCGACGTGCTCCGTTCAGGCGGCCAACGGGGCTCCGGTTCGCCTCGAGATGGAGCGCCGCCGGGAGGTGAAGAAATGGCTCGTTCGATGGCTCGCTTCCCGCTGCCCTTCTGTCCTCGAGGAGAGGTCGTCCGCCCGCGTCGTCCTCGAGCTGAGGGTGGCGGGCGCCCTTTTATACCTGCGATGCCTGGCCTGAAGCCATCCCCGGCAACCCAGGCGAACCACACGTCTCAGCCTCGTTTATTATCTGGGCCATGCCATCGCATATGTACATCACACCATCTCGCTACTCCCTCCCCTCTTCTTCTTTCCGACGCTGCTGGCCTTGGCCTTGGTGTTGTTGGACCGTTGTTGGCTTCAGCCCGTGACTCACCCATCTCATCGTCATCGATGGACCTGCCCCATCTGCCCATCCATCCATCCATCCATCCATCCATCCATCTTACTCCGTCATCCATCCCCGTCCAGGCTGCCGTGCCTCCATCCCCATCCACATCCCCCTCATCCCATCCACGCACCCACCACACCTTACCCCTCCACACCCGAAATTTATCCATTTTGACCAGCAAGCACGCACCAGAAGGTCCAGGTTTCCCACGCCCCATTTTCCACACCGCTGCTTCCCATCGCGACGATGTTTTTGGTGTTTCGACAACGCGCTTACGTAACACCACATACGAGCAACCTCACGCCTCCCACACACCAGCGCCTCAACATGCACACACGTATGGCTTCTGGTCTAGACAAATGTCGAGTGAAATGTATACGTAGGATAAACGATAGCTATTCCCTCATAGGCCGCCAGAAAGTAGTCTGCCTCGTAACCGTAGCTGCAATTAGACCGTGATGGAGCATGCGCAGCTGCCCGCTTCACGTCACTCACACCCCCTGGGCCCCTGGCAGCTGCCAGCAACTGGCGGGCCCTGAACACTGGTGTGCCATGCAGCCAGGCTTGCAAACGATGGGCTTTGTTCACGTGAGTGCACACTGAACAGCTGGCAGAGGCGTTGCCAGGCCCTCTGCGCCAGCTGGCCACAGGCCCAGCAACTGTGGCGGTCCGCGTGGCAGCCCTCTGACAGCTCTGGCTGTTCAGTGCACGTGAATCATCGTGCCTTGTGGAAAAATATAAATATCCCAGTCTTCCGCCTGTTTCTGATTTCCCTTGCTTTCCTCTCACATCGTCATCTATCCTGCCGACGGTGACTGTCCGCACACAAGACACACGCATCTCTCCACCCACGCAAGCAACATCAAGGTAAGCACAGACGACACTGGTCCCACGTGGTTTTACCTCGCATCATTTGAATGCAGCTCAGCTAACATGCTTGAAAGATCTCGCGCCAAGATGTCCGGCGAGCACCCCACGTTTGCCATCCCCGAGCTCCGAGCCTACAGATGGAGCTCCAGCGATACTGATGAATTCGACTTCAGCGAGGCGGTTGACATGCCCGAAATGCCTGTTGTCGAGGCTCACAACTCCCCCATCGCACTGAAGGAGATTCCCAACGACGAGAAGCTCACCGGCGTCGAGAATTACGAGGTGTGGAAGGCCACCATGACTCTGAATCTCCAGGTGCTTGGCCTCAAGGAGCACTATGACGGCACTGTCCGACGCCCCGCCCCTGGCCATCCCGACGAGGGAAAGTTTGACGACGACCAAGCCAAGACCCTGTGCTACATCTGGGGCGGTCTCTCTCTCCAGATGAGGCAGACGCTTGTGCGCTCCGGCTGGACTGCCAAATCCACGCCCCAGCAGACCTTGTACGCCATCTTCAAGGAGGTCTCTGCGCCCGCCATGGTTCAAACTCCTCTCACCCCCGACGAGGAAAGCGACCCCGCTGCCAGGCGTCAGCGAGCCTTAGAGGCGGAGAACTTCTGCCTCCGCGCCAGGCAGGAAAAGCTTCGGGCTGTTATTGTACTTGATCCTTCGTCGCCACGGCGATAAGAGCCACTGAGGTTAACTAGTCAACGCTGCAGGACATCATCAGGGAGCTTATCGAGGAACAAGCCCCCCATCTTTATGAGACCGTCACCGACATTGAGGACTATATCCTTGTCGGCGAGAGCCAGATCTACGTCCCTACCATGGAGGATTACATGTAGCCTTGCGCAGTGACTCTGGAAGAAGCTCACGGCAACCGGGACATGGACTGAGTCTGTCGGTGGATATCGGGCGGTATTTGGTTTTGTTCTGGTAACGTGGCGCTCGGAACGAGGAATGTGCATGGTCCCTGGTAATGGGGGATGTGGATGGAACGGCAAAGGATTGACGCCAGTATCGCGTCCGACTACGAAACTGCCCAAACTCTTGCTCGCTATACTGTTTGCTCAGGGCAGTTTCATTTGAGAATGAAAGGAAATCAATGCTGCCGCGGACCTTTTCTGTGTGACTTGTGGCCCAGCAAAGCCGCGCGTAGTGTTTCGCCAGGAGGAGCCCATCGCGTCCATTTGAACATCGCCAGATCCACGTATTCTCGCATCGGAGATGACCTCAGTTCCATATGTCGACCGTTAAAATTTCCTAGCGGGATTTATCGCGACAATGACATAGAGTCAATGCCCAATATTTGGCTGGTACCAACCTTGTTCGAGGTTAAGATCATGCCACTTGAACGATGATGGAGAGTCTGAACACAGCAGGAGTACGGATGTTCTGAGCTGATAGCTCGCGCATTACAGTCTAAAAGTGCTCCCAAGGCGTACTTGGCCATCCTCGTGGCATCATTTTAGCCGGCAGGCCCGCACTTCTGTGCTCGACTGGGCCGAAACTGTGCTATTGGAAGCTTGCACAGATCGTTCCCCAGCCTTGCTGAGACGGTAGACTGCCAGGTACGCAGCGAGAGTGACGGACAGCAGGTGCCCGCGGCAGAACGGGGCCTACCTTGAGCACCGTAAGGCCAGAGATCCCACCCCAAGGCTGTCAAAGCAGCCGGGGTTGGGAGTGGACACTCGAGTCTGTATTTCCTCTCTCCTGCTTGGTCCCAACGCCTACTCTCCTGCCATCTGTGGAGGCCACCTTTCACAGTACACGACGTATTTGTGTTATTCGCACTCGACGATGAAGATGGGCCGGACGACCGCTGCGTTCAGGCGGGTGGATGGGTGATTCTTTGCGCTCGTGATCGTCCGCGAGGGATGGGGTTCGAGGAGCGTCCGATACGCTAGTCTGGAGTGATGCGAAGTCGTCCTTGCTTTCAGGCGCTGTACAATCCGGGAGGTATGGAGATTTTGCTGCAATCTCGCGTTAGCAATTGTCAATGACCACACCTTACCGGGATCTTAGGGATGCCTCTGGAAACCGCCTGTTTTGCCCGATGACTTTGCCCTCGGTAAAGAGTCCGGACAAAGCTGATCGGGAACATTCTTGGACGCGCGCCTGGCATCTGAAAAGGCATTCGGCTTTGGTCAGTTCTCGCCAGGGCATACCGGTCGTCCGACCCGGACTCACGCTCGCCAAAACCGCCCGTTCCTTGAAGGCTCCGACACCTCTCCCCTCTTGGGGGAGGCATATTGCCAACTTGTCGAAGAGACATCGGAAGCTATGTCGGCCGTTGATGGGCTCTCACGACATCGCCTCCAAGTGTCCAACAGCCGTGACTGGTACCGAGGATTCGTTCGGATCGTGTAGGGGTGGCTTCGGGCCAGTCGGTTGGCATCCACTGGGGTCCAACGAAGTGAGCATTCGGTCGCGATGTAACGATTGATCCTGAAGTAGGTCTTTTGGAGCCTCTGTTGAAATCGCTTTCAAAAGGGGGTTGGGCAAGGCGAAAAGACCGTGCGAGCTCGCGACTGCTGGCAGCTGCTGGCGGGCCGCCCCTTTGTGGTGGGGGGTCCCCGCGCACGAACACCGAAATTTCTACTGGCAGTGCTCGCCAGAAGGGCACAAAGAACCAGACAAAAGAGCCCACAGGACAGTGCATGGACATGATATCAAGGCCCATATCAACAATGCGGGCTGCAAAGAATGGCGTAGTGCCGGCCTTCAAGACGTCCTCGAGTTAGATGTTTGTTCATGGCCACATGCACGCGCCCTCCTTTTGGCGACAACACGCAGTGATTCGAGCACTGCGAGCACACCAGCATCGCTGCTCTTCAAGAGAAGCAATGCGATAGATGCGAACACCTCAGGTCTTGGAGCACACCAGTTTGGAAGACTCCCGTAATTTCCAGTGTTGTGCCATAGGTGATCACCACCACTTGACTGCCCGGGCCTCTCGCGGAAAGCGTAAGATAACATTACACTGATTATCCATTGAAGCAATCGGACGAAAAGTCAGAGCTCTGGAGGGCACGTGGCCAGGCGTTATTTACCTGCCTGGGAGGCTGAGCGAGGCGGGTTGTCGGGACGGCTTCCCCCCAGGACGCGTCTGTTCAGGCCTGGGAACATGAATCACCCGCGACCTCGCGTCCTACCTCTTCTCGACACACAAAATGCACGCACCTACCTCTCCCACGATTCCTTGTGACCTTGCATCTCCATCGTGCATCAACAAGCCTCATCAACACACATCCACCCCCATCACGCGTGACGTCTCTGCTCTACACAAGTCCTTTAGTGGACCAGATCCTGCACAAACCCATCTCCTCTTTCTACCAGGCCATCATTCACAGAGGTCAGAACAGACTACTCGCAATGCAAATGTGATGTATGCAGACTGACATGGCGGCGACAGCACTCTACAACACGATGGACGCCGTTCTTCATGACATCGACGACCTCAAGGAGTGGGAGCTAATGATCACTTGGTGCTCCCTACCCAACTCCCTTGAAAATCACATCCACGGCATTGCCGAATGTTCTTCCACCGACAGAGAGGCCCAGCGCGAGTTCGCCAAGGCGGCCGCCGAAGCTCGTGCCATTGTCATGAGCACTTTATCCCCAGAGCTCCTCGAGCGTGTCGCCGCCCGCCTCAATATGAACACTGCCACCGCAGAGAACATTGTCGAAACCGCGCGTAAAACCGTCTTGACAGATGTCGATTACCAGCAGACGCTCTTCGAATTTGTCAACCTCGACCGCCTCGAGTTTCCCTCGCTCGCGTCGTTTACCGACCGCTTGAACTGGTTGTGGCGAATCGTGAAGGCGCACCATGACAGGACCAACGACATGATGTACGTCACGGTTGGCCTCAAGGCCATTCAGTGCTATCATCCGGATGTCTACAAGACGCTGTGCGATCAGGATACGCTTGACATTGGTGACATTGAGTACTGGTTGGACTTTCTCGCACAGACCGACGACGAGTTCTGCTGAAGGACCGGTCTGACGTTTGCAAGACGAGTATCCATTGAAGGGTCTCCTTGCCTCGCTGGGGAGAAACTTGCCTTGATACTGTGGAGGTTTGGTACAACATATTTATGACCCAAGGGAGAGCACTCATCGAAAAGTCTCTCCACGCGTGATGGACATTGCTGGATCAGCAAGCTTGGGTTTGACGAAGGATCGGCTCAGGATATGGAAGAGTTTTGGCGCCACAAGCTTCTGGCTCGGATCGGAAGTTGGGCGGCCACGGGTTTCTTTGACACAGTACGGGCGCTGAGGCACAATGGAGGCATCATGGGTTGGCGCTGGTAGAGGTCTCGGCGTTTTATGTTATCACACTCTCGTAGCATCATTGGACACGACCATACATCCCCAATAGATGCGTTGCGAGAGCCTCGGACCGCTCGTTTGTAATCATGTGACCACACAAAGCGCACAAAGCTGGTATCACGGAGTCATGTAGGGGCGCCGCCTCACGCCTCGGTAGCTGCGCCGGGGGCTGACAGCTCCGATACAGCATCATGCCTCAATCCGGCCACACGGTTGAACAGCTGGCAGCAGCTGGTTCGTTAGGCACACCCCCCTGCAGACCCCATGGGGTTGTTGCCTGTTCGAACATAGGCACCCCCCCGGAGGCATCACGAGCTCGCAGCTGGCGGCAGCTGCCTGGCCGGACTATAAAAGGGCCTCGTCTCTCCCCGGTGGTCAACTTCCTTTCTTCTCCCTTTCACACCACACCACAACTTCCACTCTCAGTCACACATCGCCTCGAGACCTGGTGTTACTCGCGGCCAACCCCCAGACCCAGACCAGGACTCCGACACTAGGACTCCTGTCTACCGCTACGAAGCCCCCCCTTCACGTCCCAACAGCGACCGAGTTTGTCAACTCCCCAGCGATGGCCAAAATGACCACCCAAAAGCGCACCGTGCTGAACTTCAAAGCAGCCTTGATTTGGCGTGAGCTCATCATGGCCTTGCGCCGTGCCGTTATGGCTCGCCACGACAACATCATCGACGACGTCGTCGTCAAGATCGATCCAATTGACACCAAGCTTTGCGCCGTTGGCAACCACACTGCTTGGAAGCAGGAAATTATTCATCGCATCAACGACGCCGGCCTCCTCGGTCACCTCGAGGGCACTGCTGTTCGACCTGAGCGTCCCGCCGACGCCATCGCTCACTTCGACAAGAAACAGCAGGCCGTCAGGGAGTACATCATGCGGAGCATCACCAACTCTGCTATCCAGGAATGCATCTTCCAGGGCTTTGTCGACGGCGAAGTCACTCTCGACACCCCGGCCGACATCATGTACGCGGTGGCCACGAAGACCCGCGCGCACCGCATGGCGGTCATGGAAAGTCTCGACAAGTTTCTCGCCTGCGATGGCAGCGAGTTCGACAACCTCGGAGCCCTCACCAGCGGTCTTCACCGAGCATGGCTTGACCTCAAGATCGATCACCCGGCTCTCTCGGACGACATCTACATCGCCGTGATGCTTCGCGTCACCAAGAACGCGTACCCCCACGCCTACGAGGCCCTCGACACCGAGCTTTACATGGGAAACCTTACGGTCAAGGCCATGCGTGACATTCTCCTCGATGAAGCCGACCGCGGCATCATCGGCGAGACCGCCGTCATGGTCCGCAACTAAGCGAACCGCGGAAGATACCCTGTGCTATTTGCTATTTTTTTCGTGGACGACAACAACAAGACGGCAACAACATGAAGGCAGCGGAGGAATACGGGAAGGAGTGAAGGAAGAACTAAGATGTATGAAGGAAGCCTCTGGAGGTTGATTGGGCCTGATACGTAACGGGTAGGGAGTGTCGAGATTATTAGGCTCAATCAACAGTGCATGTGTTGCCGCACAACTCGAGTTTTTCAGCCGTGCATTCGCTGCTCGCCGTGCGAGGACCCCCTCTGACCCATCTGAACAGAGTCCATATCACTGGCTGCCCACGCTACGCCTTTAACTTACTTCTTCTTCCTCACCCCAGGGCCTTCGGTTTGTTCTTCCCAAAACCCTGGCCGTTCACACTCTGCTACTGGCGCCGCCCTCGTCCTGCGCCCGAGCTGTTATCGACCAACAAAGCTGCGTGAACAGGGCGAAGCAAGTGTCATCCGTGAAGCAGAGCAAAGGTAAACCTGAAGCGACTTGAACGAATCTTGCCAGAATGTTTCTTTACAACGGCCTCAAGTCTAGAAAATGTCGGGAAACGAGCGGCGTGCCTCCCCGCACACCGTTTCAGACAACAAGACGGTGTCTTTTGGCTGCAACTTCACGCAGCATGTCGACATCCTCGTCTACCCGGAGCAGTACCACCACTGGCTCAAGCAAATCTGCGCCTGCGCAACAGAGGCCGGTCTCCTGAACCACCTCGAGAACAAGGCTCAACGACCCGTGCCCGCCAGCATGAAGCAAGTCAATTTCGACAAGGAGCGAGCGGTGCTCAACAGCCTCATCTTCGACAGTGTCGGCGTGAAGCTCAAGGACGAAGTCGCGCAGAGGCTCAACCAGAACCTGGGCGTTGCCCGGCCTGCGGACGTCATCCGAGCCGTCAGGCTTACCATCATAAGCCCGGCGTTTTACTACCACGCGCTTGACAAGTTCATGCAGTTCCGGCAGCTCTATGATTCGGCGGAGGATCCAGTGTTCAGGCTGCGGCTGCTGCACCGGGACTGGGACTTTCTCAAGGCGTGCGAGATGGGCACCTCTGACGATGTCTACGTGTCCGTCGTCCGGCGCTACCTGGAGCGCACCCCTTATGCCGAAGGCTTCCGCGTCGAAGTCACCGAGCATGCGGCGCTCGGCGAGCTGACGGCCGAATACGTTCGGACCTGGCTCCGGTACACGTTTCGCGTGCCTGAGCTCTGACAGAGCACAGGACAAGACATGGAATCGGGAAGTTGCCACGGTGAACGTACCAGACTTGATGCAGATTGTACCTCGAGAAGAAGCTCAGTGCTTTCAGGACTAGGGTGGAGCAGTTTTGTTCAGTGGATATCAGAATGTCGAGCGGCCTTGGAGAGATGGCGGGGAGGATTCGGTGAGACGGCACAGATTGATGGCTAAATTGGAGTACTGGCGCCTTGGACTTGTGGGCTTTGGTAAAGGGGACCTTCCAGATTGCTGAGATACTTGTGGGTTCTTGGAGATATAAATTAATTCACCCAGAGAGGTTCTGAACAAGACTGGACTTGTTGACTGCGTTTGCGTGCCACTTCTCCTCTCGTTCAGTTGGTGCATTCCCCAATGCCGCAGTCTCGGAGCGCTTGCGCCTGCAGAGAGTGATGCAGTGAATCACCTGCTCAGTAGCCCACTCCAAACACATCCATATCTGAACCCATTTCCGATTTCGCCCCGTTCTTTCCTTCACCTGGCGCAACTTGACTGCAGGCGCCTGTTTCTCCAACCACAGGCAATTATCGTGGACAGTCCAGCCAACGGACGGGTAAGTACCAAATAATTCGCTGGGCCATGATCTGGAATGAGGACAGAGAAAGGTCACTGACACTTGTAAGCGATCTTCATTTTCACGCCGCCGACCCGTCTAGCGAATCGGAGAAAGAAGCAAACAACGCCGGCCATGGCTGAAGCAGAACCCTCGGCCCAGGTCGGCACTGCCATTGACGTCTTGCCGGCCAGTCTTGCACACAGAATCATGAAGCTTTTAGAAGGACAAGACTTCCTCACGTGGCTCCAGCAACTCCAGAAAGGTGTCGGCGACGCGGGCCTCCTAGCGTATCTTGAGGACAGCGTCGCTCGGCCTGACAAGCCAGGCTGGGAACAGGTCGACTTCGACCGGAAGCGAGCGGTGGTCAACAACGTGATATTCGAATCCCTGAACTCTGTCGTACAGAGGTCAGTGGCCGACAGGATCAATGGAAATTTGAACACGGTTTCGCCTCGGGATCTTGTTCGCAAGGTGAACTCCGACGTTATCTGGCCATCACTGTACTACTTGTACTTGTCGAGATTCACGGCGTTCCCCAAACGATACTCCCTTTCAGGCGGAGAGCGTGCTACGCTGAAGCGACTCCACGACGAATGGGACCTCTTAAAGGCATGCGAGCGAGGTGTGTCGGATGATGTCTACATCAGCACCGTGATGGGTTTGCTGGATGAAACACCACACCAGATCGCCTTCTTTAACGCCATTATCGGAGGCATGCAGCATTTCAGCCTCGCAGAGGCCGAAGTCCGGTCGTGGCTCAAGGTCAGGTTCAACGTTTTGGATATCTGAGCCTTCTACGAGCACCCATTCCAGCGAGACAGGAAGCTGAGTTCGGCAACTGACGAAACCGAGCAACGGAGAGTACTCGAGAACATGGGGCTAATATTCTCCTCAGGAAGGAGCAGGCTGGAACGGTTGGCGGCGTGGTGAGATGCGCCACCCAGCATCAACATGAAGGCAGCGGGTGGAGATGGGCGTAAGGCGCTCTGGTTGTGGGACAACTTGGGAGCCAACTTCGAGCTGGAGGATATTAAAACGGCGTTGAGAGGGCCAGGAGCATTTCAAAAAGTAGGCGCGAAGTATTCAGAGGTCATCAAACATTGCTTTCACCAACCTAACTCGTATCAATTGCCTGTGGTTGCAGCGCCAGTGTCTAATCGCTACCACGTTCTGGCCGGCAGCATGGTCCTGCTCCAGGGATTAGCCTCTTCAAGTGAATCGTCTACGCGGAAGCACTTCGGTTTTGGGGCCTCCGCCGAGGCAGCCATGGATTAAAAACCTTCGTCTCATGCAAACAGGCGAATGCTCCCCCTCTTCTCCAACACCTGCAACTGCTTGGCCGGGTTCCGCATCTCGCGGATCAATCACGCCAACAACGAGATTCTGCAACGCTGGTAAGCATCTCCCTTTCGTGTTCGTGCTCGTTGCAGTACCGCTGTTTCGCCCGGGCTGACATGATCGTGCTGGAAAGTCGACAGGTGTTGAGCACTGCACTCAAGTTCACGGAACAAACTTTGAAGTTACCATGGCAAGCAGGCACAACCCAACCGCAATTGAATACTTCCGCACAGAATCTGGAACGTTCGTTATATACGGCTTCGTCGTCATGCCAAAGCCAGATCTCGACCTCGTCTTAGCCGACGACTATTTCAAGTGGCTCCAGAAGCTCAAGAAGTGTGCCGAGCGGTGCTGGCTTGCTGGAGCATCTCGACGGAACAGCCGTCCGTCCCCCGACACGGGGCACGCAGCAAGAGGCCTTTGACAAGCAGCGGGCCTCTATGAATAACTTCATCTTCGCGAGCCTGGATGTGCCTACAAGGAGGTATTACAGAGAGGCTTGGCTAAAGAACAAGAAAAGTTCTGGCGAATTCGACAAGATACCAACGGCTCATATCCTGCAGCGTATCAGGGAAGGCCTCGAGTTTCGCCCTCTTCTCGCGGAATTCACTGCCACTCACCTAAGCGGTCTTCACGTCCCGGACGCGATCAGGAAGCTCCATGATCAATGGGACAACATCAGAGCACTTCGGCCTGAGGTGCCAGATGGCCTGTACCTCTGCGCCGTGTGATCTTTGGCGGGCTCACACCGTTTGCATACGATTCGTAAGCTCTTTTGTGAATCGTTCCCCTGGATGCCCTCCGTGGGAACAGTCAGGACTAAGCTAGAAGAATACGGAAAGCGCTTTGACGAAACTCTGGCTTGAAAGGGGGTCGCGGGTTTCCTGTCAGTGTTGGCCGGCTTCGTGACGGCTCGCAATGCCACTTCATATCAACGCCAGGGTAGTCGGGGTGGATGAGCGCATGATGTGCCGAAGCAAGGCCAGAGGGGTTGCCCCAACGTGTGTAGGGGCATTAGATGCAACGGGCACAAGTAGTGAGGGATGCATACTGACAGTGCGACGGGTTCGGGCTGCAATGGTTTCCAAAAAAGGTGTTGGCAGGTTCGGGGGCAATTCAAAACGGTTACAAGAGATGCGCATGAAGAACTGCTTTCTCTAACCTAACTCGTGCCATTCGCGTGCAATATTGCTGCAACTGTCCTAAGGGTGTTGACGGACCGCCACGTCCCTGAGCGCAGTCCTGAGTCCATGTTCCGGCCGGCTCCAGTGAATCGCCTGCGCCGGTATAATTGAACGCTTTTCGCTCGTCGCGTAGGCCACAGGTGTTTGGCAACTCTCTTCTCTCACAGGCGCTTGAACTTCTCCCTCCCTTCTCTTCTCCAACATCACATCTCACAGATCATCCACAACGACAGAGATAACTCTCCAACACACATGCAGGTATGAGGATGCCACATCGCGTTGCACCACACATCGTCCAGGGTTTTGCGGCCAGGCTGACATGTCGCTGGAGCTTGTGAAGCCTTTGATTGCTCTTAACCATAGCTGAGTAAAGTGCTGAGGCGACTCGAAGATTGCGCCAGCATCATGGCCGACGACGCGGAGAACGGCTCGCTCGAGGTCGAATGCTCCACAACAGCCTCCGGCTCATTCATCAAATACGGCTACGTCGTGATGCGAAAGCCAGACGTCGAGCTCTCTTGCAGCGAGGATTATCTTAACTGGTTCCACGGGTTCAGAAAGTGCGCCAGAGACGCCGGCTTGCTGGAGTACTTCGACGGCAAGGCCGCCCGTCCAAAGCAGGGCCCCCAGCGGAACGAATTCGATCAGAAACAAGCGGCCTTGAACAACTTCATACTCGAGACCGTAGAAGCGGACTATTTGGGCGGCTACAGCAAGAAGAATTGGCAAGACGACCCGAGAAACACTCAAACATTTGACCAGACCCAGACCTCGGTCATCCTCCAGCGCGTTAAGGACTCCCTTGACGGCGACGCACCTCTCGAGGAGTTCGCAACAAATTACAGGAGCTGGTACAACTGTGAGTGGGCAATTTCCCAACTCAATGACGAATGGGACAACATCAACGCGATTCGGGCCAACACGCCAGACTACTTCTACCATTTCGGGGCTTGGAGCCTCGCGAACGAGTACGACCTCCACAGGATCCGCAACTTTTATGTCAAATCGGCCCCCAAGATGCCCTCCATTGAAGAGGTCAAAGAGGCTCTGCGGAAATATTGCAGAAAGTGGTAACGGCAGGAAGCAATAATCAGGATGATTCTTCATTCGTGGAGCTTGAGAAAAGTTGAGCGTGACTTCACATTGACACCAGGGTAGTGGTGCTGGATCGGCCGCAGAAATCGCTGCCAAAAGTCAGTATGAAGTGATGGGCGCAAGCGAATGTGTTGCGGCGACAGGGAGAAGAACTCAAAATTCGGCGCGTTTGGACGATGGGAAAGGAAACAGGAGGCATCTTCAATCGGTGATGACACAGAACGAATTCATGAGCGATCCATTCATATTCCTACACTCGTCTATATACTCGTGACCCAAGTCTACAGCCTACTCGTCGTGGCCGCCTCGTCACTCACCCACTTGACCTTGCCCTCACCGTCAACCGTCGTCTTCCGCGCGATAATCTCATTGACCACATCGGCAATGCCCTGGCGGCCCTTGCGCGACGCCACCAGCTCCCGCGACAGCTCCTCGGGCGTGTACGCCTTGCCGGCGACAAGAGCCTTAACCTCCTTCTCCGAGGGGACGCCGAGCGCGGCGTACGGGTACTCGGCGTAGGTGCGGTCGGTGAAGAGGTCGAGCTTGGCGTCCTTGCTAAAGTCGAAGAAGGGCTTGGCTGGGTTCTCGCTGGCGGGGATGGCCTCGAGCGACTCTGGCTGCCACCGGGGCTTCTCCTTACGGACGAGCAGGGCGGTGACGCCTTCGGTGAAGTCGTGGTGCTGCATGAACTTGGTGGCGATCTGGTGCTCCTTGTTGAATGTCTCGGCCATGTCCCACTTGCCGCCGACGCGCATCTGGCGGAGCGTGACGTGCACGGCCGTCGGGGAGCGCTTGTGCAGGGTGTCGATCTGCCGCTGCGCCCACTCCTCCGTCTCGCCGCGCTCGGCCTTGAGGGCGGTGAGGATGTCATTGACATTGTTCTTGCTGAAGCAGCGGTCGATGGCGCGGCGCACCTCGCCGCTCAGCTGCATGGGCTGGTCGTAGGGCAGGCCGGTGCAGAACTCCTCGAGCGTGTCGTTGATGATCTCGAGGCGCTTCGGGAGCGGGTCGTCATCGCGGAAGCGCAGCTCGGCGAGGCGGGCCTCCAGGTCGGGCAGGCTGGTCGAGTGCAGGTAGTGCGTGGCGATGCCCGAGTAGAAAACGTTGGGGCCGGTCAGGCGCTCGCTCGTCAGCGCCAGGTAGGTGCCGACGGCACCGTTCATTCTCGGCAGGAAAAAGGACGCGCCGACGTCGGGGAAGAAGCCAATGGTCGTCTCGGGCATGGCAAAGACGGTCTTCTCAGTCGCGATCCGGAAGGGGGCGTGGATGCTGAGGCCAACGCCGCCACCCATGGTGATGCCGTCCATGAAGGCAATGTAGGGCTTCTGGTACGTCGCAATGTAGTGGTCGAGCTTGTATTCGAGGCCAAAGTACTCGGCCGACTGCTTCCAGCCGTCGGGGCTCTCCTGGTTGAGCTTGGCCAGGGCGGCGACGTCGCCGCCGGCGCACAGGCTCTTCTCGCCGGCGCCCTTCATGACGACGATGTTAGCCATGTCCGACTTTTCCCACTCGACGAGCCGAGGGACGATCTTGCGGATCATGGAGCCGTTGAGCGAGTTGAGCTTCTTGGGGCGGTTGAGCATGACGGTGCGCAGGCCGTACTTGCTCTCGAAGACGACATCGTTGGCCTCGTCGCTGGGGAGCGGCTTGATGGTCGAAGCCTCGGTCGACATCTAGAGGATGAAAGGGTCAGCACGCGCGCGCGGTCATAAAGTGTTCTCCGCAGATGGACGTACCGGCCGGAGACCGAATGACGACGAGGTCAGGACCTTTGCTTGCTGAGCCATGGTCAAGGTGTTTCTGCAGCTCCTGGCGCTCACGGCATTGGCTGCCGTACCAGCTCGGACTGCGAATGCTCGGAAGGACATTTAAAGGGTGTGGAGGGGGGGAGGGGGGAGGAGGAGAGGATCAATCGGGGTCCTATGCGCTCGTCGGGGTGCCGAGGCTGGACATTGAGACTCGGCAGACGGAGTCGGAAGAACGGATGGGGGAGGGGGGGGCGACGTCGGGGTGGAAAGGATATCGGAGGCGGGCGCCGTCGCGGCAGTTGGAGGTTGGCCGCCAAAATTTGGACCGAGGGAGTGGAGGAGTGGAGGGTAGCGGCGGCCTTGCGGTAGGCACTCCTGTAGTGGTTGCGGTTGCGGTTGCGGTTGCGGCTGCGCCGCAGTGGACTTTGCTGGGCTGGGTAGCACTACAGTTCCTTCCAGGTTTCTTGGTACCGCCCGGCGAGCTGCGTCGACGGAGGTCCGAAGCCGCCAGAGCCTAGAGAATACTGGCGCAGCCACCAGGGAGAGCGCGCCCAGGCGTCTGGCAGCCACTGGCGCGCGAGGTGCCTGGCCTCGCAGCCTGTCGCGCCCCACACAACCCCAACAACCAATCATGTCCTGCGCCAGCATCCCGGCGGTCGACTTTTCGAGCTTCCTGCCTTCAGCCTTGCGATTGTGTCTGTCCGTCTACGCGCAACCTCACCTCTTCACCCATCCCACCTTGGAGGCTCCGTCAACTACCCTACCTCCCCCGACCGAACCTTTCCCCTCCCAGCCGACACGATGGAGGACCCCAAGATCAAGTGCGCCACTATGCATGCCTCTCACGTATGGTTCAAGAAGTACTGACAAGCTTCGCAGGGAACTCCTCACCAAGTCGCGGAACGAGCTCACGTATGCACCCACCTCCCGTCCCTCTCCTCGTCGCGGGAAGCTTCGTCGCAGGAAGCCTCGTCGCACACCTCCCCCCCCCGGTCGCCGCTGGCGGGCGTGACAACCCCAACGCAGAAAAGAGGAGAGCAAGGAGCTGACAGACGAACCACAGTGAGTACGAGATCGCGCAGCTCGAGGAGCACGAGTTCTCCGCGGGGCCCCTCTCCATCCTCCAGACCGCCGTGCGCGACCGCATCCAGGTCCTCATCTCCATCCGCAACAACCGCAAGCTGCTCGCCCGCGTCAAGGCCTTTGACCGCCACTGCAACATGATCCTCGAGAACGTCAAGGAGATGTGGACCGAGACATCCAAGACAGACGGCGGCCTGACCAAGTCGGTCAACAAGGACCGGTTCATCAGCAAGATGTGAGCGCGCCTTTGCCTCCCTGCCTGCCTGCCTGAGGCCCGGGGGGATACCTCCCTCCGACCTGATCGCTGCTTGATTGGGATACGTTACTGACGGTGCGGGGTGCTAGGTTCCTGCGAGGCGATAGCGTGATTCTGGTGCTGCTCGCATGAGCTTACGAGCGCCCGGAGCGTGGCGGGGTACTTTTGGGATGCTTTTTTCTTGCTCGGTTTGTATCTCGAACACATGCACTACGGTCTGTCTCGAGGGCGAGACTTTGGGACGAATAGGCGTTGAAAACACTGCTTTGACAATGACGGAATATCGCCCGCATGCCTTTACACACGTGGGTGTCTGCACGAGATTCATTACAGGCTTCGTTCGGTCTCAGACATTGAATGAGCGGTTCTACACGACGCGCGATATATACAACTCCGCTGCACAGACTACTGTCCGGCGAGCCCCTGGAAGAAGCACGAAAGGCCCCAGGCGCCTGGGTCCGGCACCTCCTCGTACCCGCTTCCGCCCACGTACACGGTCCGGCCGAGGCTCGCCTGCATGCCCTTTGTCTCATCAGCGGCCTTGCGCGCCGCAGTCGCCGCCTCGCGCACGTCGCCTGCCTTGCCGAGCACCTCGACGAACGGGTACAGCGCGTCCACGAGCGTTCTGTCGCCGGGCCGCGCGGGCGTGTATCGCGACAGCGCGTCGCACGACTGCTTGAGCGCCGCGGCCCAGACTTGGGGATTGGCCTCGCCGGCGGAGGCGGTGCGCAGGGCGTGGACCAGGGCATTGAGGAAGATGGCGTACAGGGCGCCTGATGTACCGTCCATGGTGTTTTCCACCACGGGCACGATGGAGGCGACGTCGACGACGGCGTCGCCCGTCAGGGGCTTGTCCTTGATGTGCTTGAGGATAGCTGCCGGAGCTGTCAGCACAGAAGCTCGTTTTACCGTTGTGTGTCATGTCATCTCACCTTCAGCGCCTCGCTTGAGCCCAATGCCGCAGTCTCCATCGCCAACCACCGTGTCGTATCTCGTAACATCCGGCTCCGCCGCAATGACGCTCTCCAACGCTCTCGTCAGCACCGTCGTGGCCGCCGCGGCATCCATCTTGAGCCCGCTCGACTTGATCTCCTGGCTCGCGCTCTCGTCGGACTCCCGCGTGGCCGTGTTGCGCGTCTCCCACGTCTGCTTGCGGATGGGCGCCGCCCAGCCCGTCACCTCGCTCGGCGCGTCAAGCAGGTCCACCATGTTGACGCCGACGCCCGTGTTCACAACGTTGAGCAGCGACACGCTGAAGCCCAGGCCGTTGAGGCTCGTCATGAAGGTGCCCGACAGGATGCGCACAGGGCGGATGCTGTACTTGTCGGCCAGTTGTGCGACCACCTCGGCGGTGATGCCGCCCAGCTCGAGCACGCTGACGCCGCCGAGGTTGTTGACGAGCAGCACCACCTCGTTGGAGTTTACGTTTACGAACGCGCGGTCCTTGTCGCCCTGGTCGAGCAGCTGCGCGAGCATCGTTGACACCAGCGCGGGGAGGTCCTTCTTTGCGCGCCCAGAGCCCGGCTCGTTGTGGATGCCCATGCCAATCTCCACGTCCTCGCTGTCGCGGAGCTTGTCCTCGGCGTCGACGCCCCGCCCGGGGACGTGGACGTGCTCGAGGCTCGCACCCACGCTGACCATGTTGGCGGCCGTCAGGCGGGCCACCTCGGCGACCTCCTCAAGCGGCCTGCCCAAGGCGGCCAGCGCACCCGCAATCTTGAGCACCAGCACAGTGCCGGCGATGCCCCTGCGGCCGACCTTGCCGGCCTTGGCCCTCCCCACGCCGACGTCATCGCCAACAACGACCATCTCGACGGGCACGCCCCCCGCGCGGGCCTTCTCGACGGCCATGCCAAAGTTGAGGATGTCGCCCGTGTAGTTCATGACGACGACGAGGACGCCGCGGTCGCGGTCGACGCGCGAGGTGATGGCGCGGCGGACCTGCTCGGCCGAGGGGCTGGCGAAGATGGTGCCGGCGACGGCGGCGGAGAGCATGCCGGGGCCGACCATGCCGGCGAAGGAGGGCTCGTGGCCGGAGCCGCCGCCCGAGATGATGGACACCTGCTGCTGCTGGGCCTGCTGGTCGGGCGACGGCCGGCGGTAGACTATCTTGTGGGCGGCATCGAGGGCGACGTTGGGGTTGGTCAGGGTGAGGGAGTGCAGCGCCTGGGAGACGAGGTGCGTCGGGTCGTTGATGAAGTGCTTGGACGACATGGCTTGCCCTTTTCTCTTTTTTTGCCTTTGGCTTTTCCCCGCGATGATGTCCTTTTTGGCGATTGATGAATGAGACGGATGTTGACGGGGGCAAGACGCCTCGAAGCCGCGTTTGGGTGCTACGAGTATATAATAAGACGGAGGAACCGCGAGTCACGCAGCTAGCAATTACCAGCTAAGCTCCAGCCGAGAAGGTGGGGTGAGGTGAGTGTCGTCCGGGTAAAGATGAGGCCAAGTGGGATGGTGTTGCGGGGTTGGGCTGGGCGCATGTCTGGCAGGTCCTGCGCAGGGCAGGCGCAAGCGCCTCTGCCGTATAAGTCGAGGTGGAGGTGACGCGACCTGCCTGCGGGCAAGCAAGCTGCGGGCACCTCTCACAAAGCTTCTGGAACGGACGGGATGGATGGATGGATGGATGGATGGATGGATGGATGGATGGAACCCGCCTGGCCCACTGAACTGACGGATGACGGGCAGTGTCTCAATTTTTGCTGCTGCCGTTGGCTATCTACCGTGTATATGTCCTCGCCCGCTCTACCATGCATGTACAGAACAGTCGAATATAAAACCTCATATGAAAGAAACAGGCCACCGACCGACTCCTGTGCAAAAGTCTCCGAGCCTTCCCCGCGTTCTGCCAGTAGGTACGTACGTAGTTGTGAAATGTAATGGATGAAGCCACGCGGAGATCAAACCGCCCAACCCCGGGGTTGCCCACCCCGAAAAGTCAACGCCAAGGACTAATAGAGCGCGGCATCTCGGCCGAGGGAGCCCCGAAAAGATCGGAGCCCCCGGACACTCTCATGACTTGACCATGAAGGCCGTCGAGCCGACAACCCCCACCAGCAGCAGCATCGTGATGAAGCCCGCGGCCACCTTGTCGCCCGTCGTGATGGGCTTCAGCTCGCGCGGGTCCTTCTGCTTGCCCGACCCGGCCTGCGGGTTGCCCTTGGACGTGCCGCCCGTCTTGGCCGTGACGGGGCCCTGCGCCGTCTCGGCCAGGGGCGCGATGAGCGCCGCCACGGCCGACATCTGCGGCGTCACGCCGACGATGCCGTCGAAGCCGCTGCCGATCCAGCTGAAGCCGCACGCCGTGCCCGCCATGCCCTTGAACCCCTGCGCCGGCGACCCGCTGCACGCGCCCCCGGCCGCCTGCGCCGTGCTGCGCAGCACCGGCGCGATCGTCTGCTGCGTCGAAGGCACCAGCTGCGCCGTCTGCGCCAGCCACCGCACCAGATACCCCTTGAAGCTCTGCTGGTCCACGTTGCAGCCCTTGCGCGCCTCGCAAAACTCCTCGTACGCGACGTTGTTCTTGACCATCCGCGCCATAATCTCCTTGAGAATCCCCTCCACGCGCTGCTTCCACGCGTCGTCCCCCGTCATGTTGTACATGTTGGCCGCCCCGTGCAGGTGGACGCCCGCGTTGTACGTCCACTGCGCCTTGTCGATGTTCTGGCACGTCTTGTCCGCCGTGATGCTCACGCCGTCCAGCACGTCGAACTTGTCCGTGATGAGCCCGACCTTTTGCTCCCACTTGAAAATCTTGTCCGCCCAGTCGCTGTACGTCGTGTTGCCCGTGTACCGCGCCAGCCGCGCCGCCACGTTGAAGAAGCAGCCGTTTGAGATGGAGTTCTTGTAGCTGTAGCCGTTGTTGAATTGAAAGATCTGCCAGCGCAGCCCCCCGTCGCAGTCGTCGACATCCCACCGCTGCGTATACTGGTTGAAGACAGCCTGCGCCAGCGCCAGGTACTGCACCTTGTCCGAGGGCGGGTTGGGAAACTTATTCTCCGCAGCCGACATGGCCGTCATGGCCCAGAAGCCCTGGTCGTCGTTGCCCTCCGTCCGCGTCTGGTTCTTAGGCATAAAGTCCTCCGTATCGGCCGCCTGGTGAACTATCGCTTGTATCGTCTCGTCGTTGTATGTGCTGTCGCCCGTGTACTGCCAATAATCGACCAGCGTGCCAAACATGGCGCCGGCGTGCCACCCTGTCGCCAAGTTAGCTGGCGTCCCGTCCCTTGGCGATCTCTTGGCCATGCTCACAATAGTATGGGTCAGGCAAGTTCCCCGGCACATCTCCAGTATTGTTTCCAGTATAGTACTTCATGAGACCATACGCAGCTGTGCTCGCAGCGGCCTTTAAAGATGCTGAAAATAATAATAATCAAGATCAGCTCATCTATTGATCAGCAAATGCCTGCAGGCCGACGCACCTTTGTCGTCTGCTTTTACATCGAGTGCGACAGCCGTCTGTCCAATAATCCCGGCCGCAAGCGTTGCCGCTGTCGCGAGGCGTTTCATCATGACGGCGGGCAGTACCCCCGGAGGCACGGGCAAGCGCCAAGAAGCTTGCGATGCCAAGGGTTGGCGTGTAAGTGCTTTTACCGTCGCCTAGATCACTGTGTCGCGATGATAAAAGGAAGGCAAGTCCAGCTTGCGTGTAACGAAGGCGATTTTAGATAGCGAATGGAGGCTCCGAAAGTTCGGCAGGCAGACGAGGTCAGTCTCGTGCACAGCCTTGGAGCAACGAGGGAGTCTTGTGGACGGCGAAACCGATATGTTTTCTCAGCACGTGCGATTCTCCGTCGACGAAATCTTCAGCAGAGGAGATGGCCAAGGACGTCCACGGGAGCACGGGCGTCCCGAAGCGCGATCTGATAAAAGGAGGGGGTTGTAATTGAGGTTAATTTTATGATGCGTGGCGCGGAATATGAAGCGACGAAGAAGGAACACCAGAGTGAAGGAAACACAGTGAGCGAGTGAACGTGTTCGATGATGTGATGCTGATGAAGATGAGGACGGAGGAAAGATCAAGATCGATAGCAGCTTGTGCCGGATCTCGTCGATTGCAGCTCGAAAGTGACAGGCCACCCCTTCACGACATAATACCACATTACTTGCAGGGGGCGGTGGTGCAGGAATGGCAATGGAGAGAGATCCATTTCTCCATCACTCCTGCAGGACCGGCAAAGGGGACCAACAAGCCACCTCGGATGCGCAGATTGGCCCCCCATGCGTCCCATGCGTCGTGGGGAGCTCGCGGCTCGCGAGGCTGTGCACCGCGATCCTGAAACGGGGGTCCAACTACGCCGCCGCGGTCACAGTCTCACTCTTGTCGAATCGTCACCGCTCCGGTCCGCAGGGGAGAAGCGTGTTTGAGCCCATGTCGACTGTCACGGGAGTGGCTGCCTGCACGGAACCCCCCATCCGCAGCGGATCCATTGCGCGGCAAGTGGACGAGACGGCGACAGTGACAGCAATGGCAATGTCACTCGGCCCGGGCGAGGTGCTTGGCTCGAAGCTGGGGCAGATGCGATGCGTCCGTCACACGAGCTCTTTCGATGCTGGGACCTGGGATCGAGGCTGGGTGGAGGTTGAGGTTTCAAGCCCGGGGCAGACGCTGCAGCAGCAAGGGACATGTCCAGGGACGTTATGTGTGTACGGTGGGTCGCTGCTTCCTGAATCCTGCCATGTCCAGATGGATACAGGGGGTAGCCCTTGCCGCTAATTTTAGCCCGGCTCTTGCCCTCTGCGACTGCCAGGCACCTGCTCCAGTTCTCCAACCTGCCAGGACGACGACGTAGGCCATGCGTGGATGCAGATCAACACGACTGTCCCCGGATTCTCTCCACTTGAATCAACATCTTGTTCCGCCTGGAGATACCTCACCTCGCGGCTCGACGACATGCACTGCGCGAGCATTGCATTCCGGTGGCCTCAGCTGCGCGGCCCGCTAGGGCAGGTCGCTGGCCTGGCATGTTGCACTGCCCCCCGACCAGCCGAGATGAGCGTCTCCATCTCCACCGTCGCCCCTATTGCCCCTCGTCAGCAAGCTCGATTAGGTTCGAGGACGAACTGAGTACGGGCTACGGAGCATGTCCGTACGTTTTGACATGCTGCGGAAAATGGCCAAGAGCCGGAATGCCAAATCGCCGCAGGACACACAGTCCGCTCCGCCATGCATCGTACCTGAGCAGGTAGTCGGCCACGTCCTCTCGCGCAAAGTTCAGCCCAGTCGTCGGTACACTTCGTGTTGCGTTTGTCTCCTAGGTGACAGTGGATAAGACCGATGTTGATGATTGACCGTGAGGGACATCCGTCCAGTGCGATGTACGAGTAGTCCGCAGTGTTGCCGGGACTCGCTTGCGCGTGGATCAGACCTCCTCAGCCAAAGGGCAACGCGAATCGACCTCCAGCCCTCCAGATCTGTCACAACTTTGAAGTGCCGTGCCTGCCGGGTCTCCCTCGTGTGAGAGTCTATAATAATAATTAATAGTATCACACGCAGTCTGAGGTGACTGGATCGAACGACCGAAGTGCGAATTGCCATCCACCACCTATGGGTCTTGGCTCGGACTACTCCGTACATCTTGGACATGTTATTATCTGCTGCCTTCCGTTGAGAGACATGCAAGATATACTGAAGGCTTGAGCGTCGAGGTCCAGTTACTGCGTCGGCTACGAGCGGCCTGTGCTCAACTTCGGATGCACAAGATTCTGCCGCAGAGCGTAGTCAAGGGGGCACGCGTATGACTGGATCGTCAAATCGTCATGAGACGTCAATGCTGTTGGTTCGCAAGCAGCACTGTATGTTGAACTATGTTCCGGCGATATGCAGTCCGCATCAGCACGCCCAGGTGGGTGGGATAGTCCCTCCACCCAAGGCCCAAGTACAGACTTCGGTCGATGCGATGTTGATTGTTCCAGGTACCATTTTTAGGCGAAGAGACATACCTCTCGGCTGATCGGGGATTCCTCAACCAGATCTGTAAGCATGGCCAGTTCGGCTATCGCCAGCCCTGGACGTGAGGCTGTCGAATTGCTGACCCGAATGTGGAACACGCCCGTCCGCAATCACCTGTTTCTCGAACTATATACATCGAGGGTCCACGCCCGACATGCGGCACAAGTTCCACATAATACCCTCGAATGCGGGTTATGGGGAGGTTCGATTATGGACACTGCAACGCCTTACGCGTACACTCCGTCTTCGCGGACACCCTGATGCTTTGAACGGGCGTCCCGACTACCAGCGTGGAATTGCCACTGCGCAGCACCAACACTCGGCGAGAAGCTATTCTCGGACTCAGCGTGCATTATACGGCAGCTCCTCGGCTACGACCCCAGGACTCTCGAGGCCAGAATGCGTTGTGGTGCCACTTTCGCGGTCGTGGGGCTTGCCGCAGGTCCCGTATCGGCCTGGTTGTTCAGCAGTAACCCAACGTCCAAGCCCCTCACGGCCCGACATTCATATTTCCGGCCGAGCGACGAAGCGACAGGCATATGCCAAGAGTCCTCGTGGTCATACGGGACGAGGAAGAGGGCTCAGGTCAGCGACTGCGTTGCCCTCGCGGACGACTTGACCGCTCGCAACGGGACATATTACGTCGGCAACTTTGACACGAGGGACTATCACGTACCCGTGGCGAGCCACGGCTCTTGCACGCTGGGCTTCAGCTATCTCGAGCAGGAAAACGGGACGGAGGGGTTTTGGGCTGTGGGCGACAAGGATGTGGCTGGAATCGTGAAGGAGGCCGTTCAGCGGCTTGGGCGAAACGAGATGATTGCCGGAGTCGGCACGACGCTATGCCAGTACGACAAGAGTCGGATGAGGTATATGGTTTGGCGGATTTGGGACGCAAGTGAGGGCTAGCGGGTAATTTGCAAGGCGTGGTCGATGATGCGGAGATGCTGCGACTACAGTGCAAGGCGACAGTGGTTCATTACGCTTCCCCGAGTTGGTAAAGTCAATCTTGAACACCACGATGAAATGCCGCTGAACGTGTCCGAGAATGAAGCCATCACGACCAGACGCCGACAGCGCACAAGCGACCACATGCGATGGCACCATGACACCCTCCTAGGGCTGGGGTGATAACAACTCAGGTCAGTTTAATTGCGGACGGCCTGTCGCTCGGCAGATATGATGGTGCCTGATTGTCATACCCCGGTTCATGTTGCTTAGAGACATGTCGATCACGGCAAGATGACGCCGGCCACATTTGACCTCCCGCATGGGGCAACAAACGCGGGGGAATCTCAGGTACTGAGCCGCTGCGACGTTGCACCAGCGCCACGCTTCCTTGAGGATGCGAGACTGCAGTGGTGTTGACGCGAAGAAAAGTCAAAAGCCTAGACGTGCAGGTCTCCAGACCCTCACACTTTTGCACTCTTTGCTCTCCCAGGTCCCCAGGCCAAGCAGAACGACGAGGATGAGAACCGTGAGAACCGTCGCTTCCCTCTTCTCGGTGCTCTTCGGCCTCGCCGTCGCGCAGGAGACGGGCAATCACCCCGAGTGGCCGCGATGGTGCGGCAAGGTGTACCAGCCGGAGTGAGTGACGATGTGTCATGACTCTGGGTCTCGCGCCTGACACGAAAGCAGGTATCCGAGCTTCGACCCGGGCGGCCAGGCCGTCGAGCCGCCCAAGCTGCCTGGCGGCCCGGCGTTGGACATTCAATTCAAACCGCGCTACAGCATCTATCTCGAGAGCGACAAGCAGGCCGAGTTTGTCGTCAACGCGGGCGTGTCAAAGTGGCGCGGCCAGCCATGGCCGGGCCTCGATGCGCCAGACACCGCCCCAAAAGTCGTCTTCACCATCAACCTCGTCTCCAATAATGACGTCTTGGTCTCGGACACGCTCAAGGTTGGCTCTGAGCAAAAAGTCTTTGCCTTCAACCTCACTGGACTGAAGCCCAGCTTCGACCCCTACCAAGTCGTCCTCTTTGGCGCGACCGAGTCCGGCGCACCAAACGTCACAGCGACGAGCGAGTTCTTACTCCTGCCGGAAAAGACGACCGGCAGCGTGACCAAGCTGGACAACCTCAACGGCGGGATGCTGTTCCGCAGCGCCGCGACGGGACACAAATTCGAGCCCTTCCTGCCGTACGGCTTCTACGCCTCGTGCGACAACTTTCTCTGCGACAAGGACAACATCCGCAAGATCAAGGCGTACCACGACCTGGGGCTCAACAGCATGGTGTCGCTGACGACCATCTTCAACTCGAGGCAGGCGTACGAGTACCTCGACAGCCTGGACCTGAGGTTCATGTACGACCTGCGAGGGTATTACAAGAACTTGACGGCGGTGCGGGAGCAGGTGGCTGCGATCAAGGACTTTGACGCGATATACTCGTACTGGGGCTCGGACGAGTGAGTCTTGACACAATCCAACGACGTGTGTGTAGTCGCCAAGCAGACACTGACATGTGCTCAGACCCGACGGCCACCAAGACCCGTTCCATCTCCTCCCCGAAGCCCGCGACACCATCCGCAAGCTCGACCCCTACCACCCCGTCTCCGTAACCCTCAACTGCCAAAACTTTTACTTTAAAGAGTACACGGCAGGCGCGGACTTCATCATGGAGGACGTCTACCCCATCGGCATCAACAGCACCTTCTCGAAATGGGGCACGCCCTGCAACGCCACGTACGGCGACTGCGGGTGCGACAACTGCGAGGGCAACGTGCAGGACGTGGGCCGGCGGCTCGACGACCTGGCGCGCTACGAGGGCTACCACGGCCTGTGGCCCAAGACCAAGGCGCACAACCCGCAGAGCTTCCACGGCGAGGGGTACTGGCTGCGCGACCCGACGCGCGAGGAGGAGGTGGCCATGAATGCGCTGGGGTTCCAGCATGGGGCCAAGGCGGTTGCGTCGTGGGTGTGGCCGACGAGCGAGGCGCTGGCGGGGGTGCATGGCGAGTTTGCAAAGGTGGTGGCGCGGAAGCCGGTGAGGGAGTTTATCGTTGGGGCGGTGGCGAGGAGGGTTGGTGTTCAGGGGGCTGGGGAGGTGGTCGAGGCGGCGTACTGGGAGCTGGGTAAGCAGGTTCTGCTGTCAGTTGTCAACGGTGGCTATGAGCCTATCGGAGACGACGTGGTCATCAGTCTTCCCGAGTCTCTGGCCATAAAGGCCAAGGAAAGCGTCGTCTGGGGCAATGGGACGTGGACGCTCGAGGGCAGTGAAGTCCGGCTCAAGGGGCAGTCGGCCATGTCGACCAACATGATCATCCTCAGAGCCTGAACGAGCAAACGAGGATGAAACGGAGAAGAGCCACCAAGCCCGATCGAATCTAGGTGACGATGTATCAAATTTCAAGAAATAAATGCATGGCTTGGTGACAACAGGGACTAGTCTTATCTAGCCCTTCGCGGTCTCTTATATACGCTCCCCCTTTCCTTCAACCCGTTCTCCTACAGCTTCTCGTTGCCCTGGTCATCACGCCCCAGCCTCGCCATCTGCGTCTTCAACGCCGGCATATCCGCGCTCACCAAAGTATTCACCCAGCGCTCAACCCCCTCTCCACCCTTCCCGTCCCCCTCGCCATCTCCGCCTCCGTCATCACAACGCACCGACCCCGCGCCCAGCCCGACCGGCGAGCAATTCACATACACCGTCTCATACGCGCGCGGCGGCACCACAAACGTCTCGTGGAACACGCCAATGTGCTTGTACCGGCCCTGCGCGTACCAGTCCCAGGCGCCGCGGTGCAGCGGCCCGTGCGCGAAGCGGTGCAGCGCCTGCACGTCGCGGAAGTAGTACGTGACGATGATGGCGCTCGCGTTGTCGGCCGCGTAGCCGCGCCAGACGTTGGCGGCGACGAGGCCGTGCTGGGCGCGGGAGCGGTGCAGCTCCGCGTGCATGGCGAGGAAGCGCGACGAGGTCTCGTGCCCGCCGGGGCAGAGCCAGCCGAGGGGGTGGTTGGTCTGCACGCCGAGGTTGAAGACGACGAGGCCGTGCGATGCGGGCTCGGGGCCGAAGACTGCGTCGCCGGAGGAGGGGGAGGAGAAGGAGGAGGGGAATTGCGCGGTGGCGCGGCCGGGGACGACGTGCTCCGTGTAAGGGCTTGAAGGCGAAGGTAACGGCTTTGAAGGGCGGGAGAGGTGGAAGAGCGTGGAGAGCGCGTAGCTGAGGAGCAGGACGGCGGCGGGGACGATGGCAAAGTCGTCGGGGAGGAGGACGCAGAAGAGGAGTTGGAAGAGGGCAACGCCGAGGATGATGGCGTTTTGCGAGAAGAGCGTCTTGACGATATGCTGGGGTGCGAGTATCAGTCAGCCAGTTACTTCCTCGAACGTATAGTAGAGAGAGTTGGGGGGCATGGACAACGCACAGCGTATCGTGAACTCGGGTCGAAGCTGTGCGGCGCACTCGACGGCGCGAGCTTCGGCTTGAATTGGCGGCCGGTCATGATGAGGTATAGCGGCGCTGGCGGCAAACAAATTTCAAGACCAAAGGCCCGTCCTTGACAGAAGCTGTATAGGGCCACCTGTGTTGACTCGTAGCGCAGGGGCTTGAGGATACTCGGAACGCGGATGCTCCCGCGATTCAGTCCTTATCGCAATCGTAAAGTCGGTAACGCTACTCTGATGATAGAGAAGCTGAGTTTTTGCCGGCAGTCGTTGTCGTGCCGTGCAAGCGTGTAGTTAAGGCAACAATAGTCACTATGTTTTTTTGGCCGGTGGAGGGAAGGCTGTCCGCTTCCCGTCGGAGAGGAAGACGTAGTGATCAGCAAATGGCTGCTAGTGTCGTGTAAGTGGCGGCGTCGTCGCAGACAGACAGACTCTTAATTGACAGTTTGTCCACGAGATGAAGTTGTCAACGGGGTCGTACAGAGGGACGGATGTCGAGGTCTTTATATATCAACGAAAGACGCGCAGGCAGGAAGCATGGCGAATGTGGACATGACTCCATCTGCATGCGACGGCATGACCTTGCCGCCTCACCACCACCATCGTCAACCCCCGTCCACCTCAAGGGTGATTGAACCTCGGAGGCTCGCAATCCCGGGCCCGATGGCACGAAAACCTACAATGACGCATTCGTAGCATCGGCATTGGTAATTCAACCCTTCCCAGACGGCCACAGTTGCCCCATCCGCCGTCCCTCCAACGGCCAGGCGGCGGCGTTGCATCCTCTCTCCTCTCGGGAAGCAAGCGAAAGCGAGAATGGGGCGGGCAATGCACGCCTTACTGCCACACTTTACATCTGTACACACAGCTGGGTTACTACATGCCCGGCGGCTGTGGCTAACTTAGTTGCTCTGGTCAGGTGCTTGCGGCTGGCTGGCCGGCTGTGTGTGTGGCTTTCCGCCTCTCCCGCCCTGTCGCTCGTTTTCCACTTACAGCCAGCCGTCTGCGAGTCTGCAACGGCCGGTCCGGGGTTCGCCCAATCGAGGGACGAGGGGGCGGGAAATGGGGGCTCTCGCACTCGCATTCTGTTGTTTCGCGCATATGGGCGGGCTGGCCGACCGGACGCTAGTGCCGCAGTGGCGGCCCGTTGGAATGTGTCAGTGAAGAACCAAGGTCGGCCTTTGGACCACCACCACGTCATCGGTTGTTTTTGGTGGTGAGGACCGTGGGGGGTGTTCGGCTTCATTGTTGTTGCCCCGTCTGAAGGATCCCGGACTCCGTTGCGCGACTCGACCGAGCGAGCCGCGCCAGCGTCGGGATGCCGAAGCATCAACACTCCGAAAGGACGTCATCGAGGCCAGAACGAGGACCCCAGCCAGCAACGTACAGTCATGCCACATGTATTCATTATCAGTCATATCTGTACATCCATGTAGTTTGTCCGTTTCGAATCCAACACTGCGCTGCCGCTCGCGGTCGCGGACCTGGTATCAACCATTCCATCTCCTGTTTGTTGCGGTCGCGTCTCTAGAAATGCGCACCGTCCTCGTGCAAGTTCACGTCCACAGCTCCAGCACGCGCGCGTGCTTCACTTCACGCCTCGTTCTCCTTGTCGCCCGCCCCGGGCGCCACGAGCGACTTCTCCCACTCGTCCATTAGGCTGTTGGCCGTGCGCTTGAGGTTGCTCGGCGACAGCCTGTTCACCACGCTGGGGAGAATCTCCTCGAGCTTCTGCGGCGACAGCAGCGGCGCCTCCCCCGTTATCGACCTGTTCTTCCTGCGCGGCGGTATATTAGCCAAGGTACTTTCTTGTCCCATTCGTGCCACAACACGTACACCGGTGTCGACTTCTCCTCGCCCGCCTCGGGGATGGACGCTATCTCCTCGAGCCCCGCGCTGTTGATGGTCGATCCGCTCCACCGCGGCGACTTGGACGGGCCCGGCGAGTCCCAGTTGGCCCAGTCGCTGTCGTCTACCGCGTCGAATCCCAGCGGCGTCCACGAGAACCGCTTGTTCTTAATTGGCTTGGGCTTCTCGAGCGCTGCCGACGCCGTGTGTCTGCCGCTCGGGGTCGGTGTCGATGCGCCCGAGCTCGGCGTGTCCAGGCCCAGGCCAAGACTGGCCCGCGGGCGCGAGGACTGAACGGTCGCTCTCCTTTCCAGGCCACCCGACGACCGTTTGCTGGCCGCCGATCCGTTCTGCATGGTTGGTGTAGTCCGGCTGGCATGTCCCGTAATGGGCTCGTCTCCAACGGTAATCTGGCGAATGTCTTCCACAAACGCCTTCAACCCCAGCTTAAAGTCCTCGACAAGCCACGGCATCATCGGAGAGTCGTTGGTCGATCGTGGCTGCCACGACGACCGCTTCGATAGCGCTGGACTCGAGGGCATGGTCGCTGTCCGAGTCATGGGCGGGACTTTGGGCTCCTCCGCGCCGCCGTCTTCGAGCACGGAGAATTCTGAGGGTGGCTTGGCTGGTGACAGTAGAGACAGAGTGCGCGTGTGTCCGCCACGGATGACCCGTCTACGATTCTGCGTCGGGGTGCTCTGGCCCTGGTTTTGGAGCAGCGTCTTCCTGCGGTCCAAGTCCCCGCTACGCCGTGATGCGGCGTTGTCGTCGTCGAGGGAAGCCCCAGGCGTGGCTTTTCGGGGGGTGTCTGGATGGTGGTGGTGGTGGCCCACGGGTCTCTTGTGATATGACCCCGTGGCCGTCCATTGCTTCTTGAGCGACGAGAGGTCCGCCTCTGCCCGGGCCAACTCTTCCCGTAGCTCCAGCACCCGACGCTCCTGAGCCGCGATTGCTATTATGAACTCGTTGGCGTCGGGAGGTGAGGCGACAGTCGACTGCTCGGCGGGAGTCGGGGGTATGGACGGCGTGCCCGCTCCAGACCGGTGGGCCGGCCGTGACGGGTCGCTCGTCGGGGGAGCAATGGGTAGCGTTAAGGAGAGGCGGTTCGTGATGCGGGAAGCCGCCGAGTTGGACCGCGACAGGCAGGCTCCCGCGCCACTGTCGCCGGGTATGGGCGGCGGCGGCATCATGTCCGCGTCGCTGCCGCTGCTCTTGTGTAGTCTCCTGGTGGCATCCTCTGCCCTGACGGTGTCGATGTGTTGGGTCTGGGTCCGCGAGTGGGCGCGTGCCAGGTCAGAGGGCGGAGAGAAGGTGGTGGAGGTAGCGACAGTGGCCTCAGGGGTCGTGGATTCATGCACGGGAGAGGTCCTGTCGGCGGCCGAGGACCGACGACGGATTTCCTGCTGCGAGACCATGCTCGTGCGCGCCCTGTGCGGCAAGAGTTTGTGTAACGAGTGTAACGAGTGTAACGAATGGCTGCTGCTGCCGCCGCTGATGTTGCTGCTGCTCCCGGCGCGGTGGAGGACGGGGCGATGGCGGGTGCCGGCGCTGCTGCGCTTCTGTGTCAAAGGAGTGGACGGAGCCCGGGTGGCTCTGCGGCGCCGCAGTCGGGCAGCGAGGGCGGCTCTGGCGACGAGCGCTCGGTGATGGGCCTGTGTCAGGTGGCGATAGTCATGGGCGAGGAGGGAGCAGCAATGTTCGACGGCGCAGATTCGCAGGAGCAGGCCCGTCATGAGGGAAGGCTGCTTGCTCGGGGGAGGATTCGACGGGTGGGCGGGCAAGCCGGGCGAGCGAGATGGCGGTTGCTGACGCGCGACTGCTAGCGAGGTGATGGGGATTGCGCCTGCGCTCGCTCACTGCTGGTGCCAGGCTGCCTGTGCCTGTGCCTGTGCCTGTCACGAACCGCCGCGGCTCCTCATCCCAACCCTGTATCCAGGGGCACGGCGCAGCGTCAGCGGGTTGTGGGTGGGTGCCCGCCAGGGGGACGATGGGCGAGCAGGGTAAGGCGTGCTGCGCGTCTCAGGAACCGCGCAGGACCATTGGACGACTGCAGGACATTGGAGGGGGGCAACGGAAGGCCTGGACGACCAGGGTGGTGGTACCTAGTGGTGGAGGAGGTGGAGGGACGCTGAGGTGGGAGCTTGTCTGGCGGTGACGGGGGGAGGAGCACTAATCGGGCGCTCGAAATAGCGTGGTAATAACAAATAATAACAAGAAGCGTAGGTAGGTGCCGTCGGTAGCGCAGCGCTGATGTCGCGGGAGGGCCCAGGCCAAGCTGCGGCGACAGCGACCGTAAGGAAGAAGCGAAGCGCCAGGCAAGGCAAGGAGGGTAAGGTAGGTAGGGAGAGAGACAGTGAGAGAGAAGGAGAGAAAGCGGATACCGTGTGGTAACGCTGACGAGACGAGATCTGGAGACGAGATCTGGCCCCCCGGGGGGTTTCGACGACGGGTCGGCGGTGACGACGATGGGATAAAAAAGGTTGGACGCCGGTGGCCCGAGCGCGCGTCGAACGTGTCTGAGCTGTCAACTGTTTCCGTTTTGGCGTCTGTTTCTGTTTCTGTTTCTGTTTGCCGTGGCTGTCACGCTCGCTGGCTGCTGGCTGCTGGCTGCGAGGGGGGGCGGGAGGCGCGCACGCTGGACGGTGTGTCTGTCTCGGAGCTGCAGCCACCACACGGCGATTGAGTGCGTCTAGAAGGTCGGGTGTGTGTGTGTGTGTCTGTTGGGTTTGTTTATATTCCACAGACCTCGAAACGTCTATGTTCCTAGCGACAGCCGGGGGCGCTGCGCACACGAACACGTGCATCTGCGCCTCCAACTCGCGCAACGACCCAAGCAAGCAGCCGGTAGCAACGGCATCCCGACAATGGCCGCTGTTTACGACGACGGCCATGAACGAGCTGCGACGCCGGACCGTCCTGCGTGCGCTCGTGGCCGGGACAACCAGCGGCGATGCGCAAGCACAAGTGGAGCGCGCCGTTCGCTCAGGGGCGGCGGCGGCGGCGGCGGCGGCGCTGGGCGGGCGCTCCGCTCCACTCGGGGTGCAGCAACGGGGGGTGCCCTGGCAGCCGCGGATTCCACCTCGTCATCAAAGTGCATCCATGCATCCATGCGCGATGGCATGGGCGTGGCACAGGGGCCGCCTTTAGCTGGCGGGGGATGGGGAGAGTGGGCGATGGCGGCGACGGCGGCCCCAGCACTTTATTATTCGCAGCTGGGGCCCCGGCAGGCCCGGGCTACGAGAACGTACAAGTACGTACTTTGAACTGCCCAAAAACATCCATTGCCTGCAAGTCTGCCCCTGCCTCGTCAGCTGCGCCGGTCGGCGTCCACGAGTCCGTGACTGCGGGGAGCGCGACCATCTCCAGCAGCCCAGAGAGCGACACAGCCAGCCCATGGCAACCCCAATCTCCGGCGCAAATCAGTGGATCATGCGGCACATGTGAATGGTTGCTGACGGCTGTTGAGGCCTGAAGCACGCGACGTGCCTCCACTCTCATCGTGTTTATCCGATTGCTCCGCTGTTCATGATAACGGCGACATCGAATGCCGCCCCTCGCAGATGAACCAAGGCACTGAAACCGTACATTTACGTGCTGTTCTCACCTACCTCACCACTATGTGTAAAGGGCCGTACACTTCGTACCTAGGTGCTTGCCCAGAGCGGAAAACGTGGCAACGTACTCTGTGAATCCAGACCCCTCGAAGTCGAGACTGAACTCCGACCACTTTGCGAGCGGTTCACGAAGCGTTCACTGTCTCGACTCCTCCGTTTGGGCCTCAGCACACGGCACGCGTTGCCGGCCAAAAGACCTATGTGTTACGCAACTCAGAGCTCCAAAACTTATGTAAAACCAAAATATAAAATTGGCCTGACTCCCGATCCCTTACTCGAGGTTCTCGTACGCCTCTTCCGGTGCATACTACGTACGGCAGAGATCGCAAGATGAAGTCCGTCTCGTCGCTCATCTTTACCTCCCTCCTGGCCACGGCCTTGGCCCATAGCTCTGAGTCGCAGGCGTGCGGTGCTGCTCTGCGCCCAGGCGTTCCGTATGGCGGCGTAAGTACCTCTCCTGCGAGACACCCCGTTGTGACCAACGTAAGGACGTGGTGCAGCCACGTCGTCACATGTTATCGTCAACCATGCACATCCGCCCTTTCTTCGCAAACGATTGGGCAAATACACGGGCTGCAGTCGTCCCTGTAACTTGACGAGGGTGGGGGAGAAAAGCGTTCGATGGCTAACCGCGTCTGATGATCCGTAGCATTGCTCCGCCGTGGATGAGGGTGACAGAGAAGCCAACTTTTGCTACCTGCTCGCCTGCCCTTGCCAAGGAGCAGGGCACGGCGTCCCTTGCCAGCCTGACGCGCGACCGGTAGGTCATGTTTTCGCCTAGGTGTCCACGTTGCACACGAGCTAATCACGACGCGACTCGCAGTGCTCGGGCAGCATGCGCAGCTGTACCTGGACAATGGGCGATGCGTATGCCCAATGCGGCTGAGTTGTCGAGTTTCAGCCCATAGGCGACCGCTCAGGAGTGCATCAAGATAAACAGATCACCCATCTAGTTACACGTTTGTGTGCACACTGAAGTACATTTATCTAATAACATCTGTCTGAACCTCGGCTGCTCCCTATTGCAAGTCTCTGGACTCGGTGAACACCCCGCATTTTGAAGTGTTGCTGGACCCGGGGCTGAAGCATTGCTCGATGATCCAACGGAAAGGGCGGGCTTGGAGGTGCAGAAGGGCTGCCATAGACTCAAGAAGAATGCAGTCTTTCTTTCAGAGACCGAGTGCCAGAGAAGTTGAATCCAGCCCAATGAATACGGTGGGCAAGGCACTGTGCGATGTGGCGGTCGCTTTGAATTGTGCCTAACAAAGGCGCCAGTCGCTCATGTGACTTCCCGTCAAGGTCGCGTGCCCTCATGCGGCCCCTCCTGCCGCCTCTCAATTGGCGAACGCGCGGAGGGAGCTCTATCCAACGCGCTCCGTCCACCTAGCATCATGGAGCCTCAGCTGGCACGGACACCATGATTGTCAGGCAGAATCGCAGCCTCGTCGCCTGCTAGGCTTCCCTACCCGCTTTCCGAACATATCGACCTCCACGAAACAGGTCTGCGCCGAAACTTGGCTGCCTGCATCAGCATCAGCTGTAAGACAAGCAACACGCACCTCGAGACAAAAGGGCCTCGCCCGCTGCCCCTCGGTGGGGTGGCCGGCTCCAGCTTTTGCGCTTCGGAATTGCTCACCATTTCCCTCAACCAACCTGTCCAACTTGCGCGCAAATGAGTTGAACACTCGCCGCCTTCTTGCGCGATGCCACTGCCATTCTCGCTCGTCTGCGACCTGCTGGACGAGTGCCACAGACTATGCGTCGCCCGTCGCTCAAATAACCAGGCCGTCGCTGACTGGTTTGCTCGCCACCGAGGGCGCATCGATGCGCATGACACGAATTTGCCCGCTTTGCTATCAACGTTGCTTCCGGAGAAAAGGACAGACCGAGTGTACTGCATCCAGACCCCGTCACTCGAGAGGATCATCGGCCGCGGCCTGGGGCTGGGCGCATCGCGCATTGCAGAACTAGCAAGGTACCGCCAGCCGGGCCTGGGATTGGACTTGGCTGACTGCGTCGAACGTCTCCTCGCGACCACCGTGGGTTCCATATCAACGACATATCCCTATCCGGTGCCTGGCTAACATCATATGCCTCAGCCCAACCCCACGTACAGTGACAAGCACCGTGTCACCGTCGAGGAAATTGATACGTTGCTGCAGGAACTGGCTTCGAGGACCAAATGGAGCTCTCCAGCCATCCGTAGTTCACAGGCAGGTCTGACAACTCGCGACCGAGGCGACTTGGAAGGTGTCTACCGGCGGCTCAACGCCAAGGAGGCAAAATGGCTTACCCGGCTTGTCCTCAAGGACTATAGGCCATTGATCCTCGACTCCAGGCTCGTCTATCAGTGCTGTCACCCGGTTCTGCCGGCAATACTGCAGATTCAAGACGACTTTGCGGCTGCCATCAACGCCCTGCAAGCCGCTAAAAGCCCAATGCTGCCAAACTCGAGCCGACAGGCACGCCTCGGGAACGAATCCATTGCGTCCATAAAACCCCGGCTGGGCATCAAAGTGGGTAGGCAAAACTGGTTCAAGGCGCGGAGCATCAAGCACTGCAGCACGCTTGGCTACGGCCGCATGAGCGTCGAGAACAAGATCGACGGCGAATACTGCCAGATCCACATCGATGCCACCCGTGACCCTCCTAGGATACAGATATTTTCCAAGAGCGGCAAGGATAGTACGGAAGACAGACAAGGCCTACGAAGGTATGTTCCTGTGCGCGCGCCCGCTGGAGGCTGCTGCTAATTCTTGGCAAGTCCGATCCTGAAATCACTCAAATTGGGCACGTCGGCGTCGAACGTTCGCAAAAACTGTATCTTGGAGGGCGAACTAGTTGTGTACAGCGACTTGGTGGGCAAAGTCGGCTCTCGCACAAGTCATGCTTATGCTCACGATCAGCAGGAGGGCAAGATTCTTCCCTTTCACAGGATCAGGAACCATGTGGCGCGCAGGGGTCGCTTCATGAATACAGAAGATGACACGCCGTGAGGATCATAGCCCCACCATATCAAAATGGCGGCTGACGGAAGCAGTCCAAAACCCTACGAAAATCTAATGATAGTGTATTACGACATGTTACTACTCGACGACCGCTCCTTGCTGGACATACGCCACTCTGAAAGATTCAAGCTGCTCGAGCGGACGATCCACTGCGACAAGGGCCGCGCAGAGATTGTGCCGAGGCAAGTCGTCGATTTTGGTGGCCGGTACGCCATTTCCGACCTCCGACAAGCTTTCGCAAAGACTATTGTCGAACGAGGAGAGGGTCTCGTGCTCAAACCAGACGACCCCTACTTTAATTTTCACAACAGCAGCAAGCGGTTCTCCGGGCTCTGCATAAAACTGAAGAAGGAATACATCGGCAACTTTGGCGATATTGGAGACTTCGCAGTGGTTGGCGCAGGCTTCAATGCCTCCAAGGCACGTTCCTACATGATCCCGGACCTGAAGTGGACGCATTTCTTCCTAGGCTGTCTGGAAAACAGGGAGGAGGTAAAGAGGTGGAACGCAACCCCCGAGTTCACCGTCGTGACGGTCGTAGAGCTCAACGAGACGCAGCTCAAGTCGCTGCTTGCTTTCGGCAACCCCATGCCTGTTGAGCCGGCTATCAATGTCGACACCAGGCTCAAAATTCCACGCGGCCTTGAGACCAACACGCCCATGTGCTTTGCTTTCCGAAATCCTCTCGTCTTTGACTTGAGGTGCTTCAGTTTCGACAAACCCGGAAACATGGGCTTCTGGACGCCGAGATTTCCCGCAGTCTCCAAAATCCACTTTGACCGCGACTACACGGACACGATCTCGCTCGAGGAACTCCAGGAGAAGGCCAAGGAGGCAACCACAGGCACTGAGATGGACGACAGCCAGGAGAATCTAGCGTGGATCGCGAGACTCGAAGGGGCTGACCCTCGGGGGCGCGCCGTTGATGCAGTTAGCCAACTTACCGCTACGACGATGCCGACCCCTTCTCCGGTCAAGTCTACCCAGGCTACATCCGAGTCCGATCCACGGCTATCCCCTGTAGCTTTCAGGTCCGTGGGCAGGGCTTCCGTCAACCTTGGACAGGTACTCCACACGGCTACCAGGGAGTTTGCAGTACCGCGGGTTCCGTTGATCACGCCACCGTCGTCCTCGCTGCCGGAGGAGGCCGCATCGCCGACAGCCTGTGCAAACGCTGCTCCGCGAAAGCGCCAGTCGAAACCTGTGTTGGAAACTTCACCAGCACCCAAGAGGCAGCGAGTCGAGAGCAATCAGCGCGATGCGGCACCTCCGAAGCCTGACAATGTTCGCAGACCATTGACTGACATTGATGGTAACGCATCGCAGCAGTCAGCGAAATCCCTTGACTCTGTTTCCGCGCAACTTCAGCAGGACGACGAGCAAGCAGGTGACGGATGGGGCTCGCCCATTCTCGTCATAAGTGGTCCTGGCGAGAGAGATACAACGAATACGCCGGATGGCGCACCAAAAGCCACAGCTGCGGTCGCTTGCGCAGGGAATGGGGCAAGCTGCGCGAGAAGCAAAGCAGAGGTGAGATGCAAGTATGCTGGCGCCGGATGCCACCTCACTCAATGTCCAGTATTCTTTGCTACAGAATGCCTCAGGACATTGGCGGAGGCACGCGCGCATATCGAAGAGCATGGTATAGAGGGTGCAAGTGTTCTGGATCCAACGTGGCTGACAGCGGATGGGCATCCCGCAGTGGCCTCTCCCAACCCAAGGCGCGGACAGAGCGCGATACTCTTGGTCGACAGCATGAACAAGGCGGACGAGACGAGGGAGCTACTTGTCCTGGCCGAGGAAGTCCGAAGGAAAGCTCCTCGTGGGAAACGACGTTGGATATCAGTATACGACTGGCGACTCTTGAGATACCTTACCGTATTGGAGGATAAGACGGTGCGTACAAAGTATTATGATGGGTTCGACGATCCCTGGCGTCGGTGGTACTGTGGCATGATTTAGAGGGGTGCATACAAGGCGGCGCATGCATATTGGCTTTTGCATCATTGATACAACGGCGTAGGTTATTTGCGGCTTGAGTACATAAAAAGAGCCGCTGCGCGCTCATGATTTTGAGCCGTCTTCCTTCTTCTCGTCGTACAGCGTGCCATAACTCTCCTTGAGCCTCATAAACAGGTGCTCGTCTGCAGTCATGACCTTCCTCTCCGCATATGGATTGGCACTCACCGCCTCTCCCGCAGGCACATAGTCCTTGACCTTTTGACTGGGCACGGGCTCCAGGCGCGTCGTGCCGACGGGATGGCAGAAAAAGGCAATCGAGTACCTCGGCCCGGCGCTGGACTCTCCCTCGACGGCGGCGCCACTGCCCTCGGCCGGAAACACGACGCGGTGGACGGTGCTGCGGAACAGGCCGTTGGTCCAGTACGACAGCAGGTCGCCGATGTTGACGAGGATGGGCGGCGAGGGGTCCGCGGCGGTGCCGGGCGGGGACACGGGCACGGGGGCCCAGACGTTGTCGCGGCGCAGGACCTCGAGGCCCGCCTGGCCGGGGAGGCGGAAGAGCAGCGTGATGGAGCCGTAGTCGGAGTGGGCGCCGGCGCGGACGTCGGCGCTGGCGCTGGCGGCGTCGGCAGGGGGGTAGCGCAGGAAACGGAGGATGGTGCCGGAGCCGGACTGCGTGGTGAAGTGCGCCGAGGAGAAGAAGTCGCCGACCTTTGGCCATTGCAGCACGGCGTCGTTAGCCTTGAGCGTGCTCGTTGTGCTAGTGACATGAATTGCGTTTTGGGGGAAAGGGGCAGAAAGGGGGGAGGGCGACTCACGTCGAGGCCGAGGCCGAGCAGGTAGAGGATCTTGTGGCACAGGCGGCGGCACGAGTCTGCAAAGGCGGCGAAGCGGGCCTCTTCGGCGGCGATGGTCGAGGGGATGGGCTGCTGGGCCTTGCCGTCGACGAACTCGCCAAAGTTGAAGGCCCTTCCAGCTTGTGAGTTAGCTAGGCGCTCTTCCTCGTGGAGGTGGCAGAGGAGAACACTACTCTTTGAAGTCGCCGATCTGGGGAAGCTGTCAGCCGATGTTCTCACACAGCGTTCAATGAATGGAACCTACCCTCTGGTTCTTGGGATCCAGCGTCTCGGCGTGCATGCCCGTCCAGCCGCGGTTGTTGGTCTGGATGGAGCACCGCTGCTTCTCCTCGAGCGGCGTGTCAAAGATCCTCCGTGACTACAGGGGCTTCATGTGAGCAGCTTCATTACGCGACAAAATTCGCCCCGGGTTTTTGCGCACCAAGGAAAAGGCCTCGTCGACTGCCGCGGCGGGAATGTCGTTGCCACGGTTCTTGATGTAGATGAAGCCGTGCTCCTCGGCGGCGGCGACGAGCTGCCGGGCGACGTCGGCCTCGTCGCCGGCGAGGTCGATGACGGGGATGTTGGCTGTGGCGGGGGGCATGGCTGGGCGGAGGAATGTCGAGATGAGATATTATGTATCATGTATGAAGAAAGGATGTGGATGAGAAGATGGGTGCTCTGAAGTACTTGGCGGCGATGGCGGGGTGTGGGGTTTGATAGTAGTCGATGGGCGTGGATGGTGGCACGGCATCGACCGACGCTCTCTACATACTACGGACGACACGCGTGAGACCTCGATCTTACCGAGAGATTTTGTAGCGTGTGTTGAGAATTGATGACACGAGCCAGATGGTAAAAAAAAAAAAAAAAAAACACGGTATTTCTGTACTATTGTTGCAGCTGTTTATACACAACCTCGCCGAATGAACCTCAAAACAGAGATTCTCTGGATTGAAGCATTCGTCGTTTCTAGATGTGTATAAGAGACAGGTTTATACACAACCTCGCCGAATGAACCTCAAAACAGAGATTCTCTGGATTGAAGCATTCGTCGTTCAACGGAGCTCCTTCCATGGATTTCTGGTCATTCCCTCGTCTCACAGCGATACGCATGAGCCCGGCAGACAGCCAGCCACGGCCGCAGCTTGACGTCGGAGCCTCCCGAGGGCGACGGGCTCTCCTCAGCCGGACCCCTCCATTCCTGCGTCAAAGAGGAGGAGCGGGTTCCATGCTGCACTTTTGCAGCGGTGCTGCCCCTCCCCTTCCCAATTCCAAGGTTCCCTGCCAAGGCTGTGAGTCGGGCGTCGCGCGCGCTGGCCGACGGGCAGCGCACAGCCACACAGTTCGGCCGAAGCACAGCACCAGCCACACGCACCATAAACTAGCTGCCCGCAGGCTGGCGTGCTGATGAGCGTGCTGGCTCTCGGCACTGCAGCCACTCTCCAGGGTGGTAGCCCCAGACCCTGTGGCTCGTGCACACCAGCGTCATTCAACGAATTGCCAACCCTGGACAGGGGGGAGGGGGGGGAAGGGACCACCAAGGCTTGGGGTTGGACGATTGCAGAAGGACGGATGGGACAAGCAACAGGGGAGGATCAGCACAGGTGGCAGAAGCTCCTCCTGCAGCTGTGGCCCAGGCTTGCCGTTGCCAGGCTGCGCCCGCCAGAAAATGCCCCACTGCTCGCCCCCTGGCAAGCACAAGCAATTGAAAGCAACAGAAGCAGCTTGAGCAGCAGCAAGCAGCAACAGCACCAGGCTCCACTGCTAGTGGACGGGTTCAGCCCACCCACCTGCTCGCTCCACCCCTCTCCAGCGGGCACCCACCAGCACAGCCGAACCACCACCCGAGCAGCCCTGGACAGGCTTGCCAGGCGGCGGCGGGTGCTGCCACACGCTAAATCCACCGGCACTGCGGCAGGACGCAGCCGCCAAAACCTCGAAACCTCGCGTCGCCAACAAAACACCCAGCTTGCCTCACCTGACGACTGCAACCTCTGGCCACCACCCTCACACTCTCCTCCCCCCGACTCGACCAAACGACCCTCGCCGCCCGCCCCGACAGCCACCCTCGCCGAGGGCTTCGCGGGCCTTTTTGGCACATCGTTTCTCCTCTCTCGTCTCCGCCCGCCGCCGCCCCGTTCTGTCTTTTCATGTCGCCCGACGACTCATCGCCGAGTTCCTGACCCTGATCCTCCGCCGCCGTGCACCCGCACACCCAAACGGCCGCCGCGCCTCGCACGCGATTTCGGATTATTTCCTTCTGGGGGAGGTGGGAGACGCCCGCTCGCACCCGTCCCGAACAGTAGCCACCACGATCCACAACAAAAACGACTGCGGCAACGCAAGCAACTGTTTCAAGCTCCGTCACGAAACACAAGGGCGCCTTTGTCGCCGCATCGCCTGGTCGAGATGCCTTGTGAGTTGACTCTTCTCTTCTCTTCTCTTGGGTGGCGGCTCCGTGCTTTGGAATGGGCGCAGGGCCCGAAGCTCCTCGTCGGGTCGTAGGCGACTGCACGTGCGTGCTGTTGCCGGGTCGCGTGAGCTTTGCGTTCACCGTTCAGCTGCGGGAGCACAAGCATGGCGTTTGCTTGAGGGCTTGCTGGGAGTGTCGAGCGTTGAGCCACAAGCTCAATTGCTCCATATTGACGACACTTGCTTGTCCTGTGAGCTCGCTTGTCGCTCGCGGCCTCAGGCAGTCCGCGCCTTTCCCCATGACGCCATGGTCCCGTTCTGTCCTGCATTGTGTGTCGAAGCTGACAATCGCTTGCCTCAGTTCTAATCGAAGACTCCTGGATCAATGGCCAGGCCAGGTGAGCCCGTCCCGCACCCCTCCGCGACTGCGCTGCGATAGCCCAGCGAACTGACCAGGAACTCGGTACAGTACCAGCGATATTTCGGAGCTCGAGGACTGCGCCATTGCCGTCGATGCGTCCTATTATCTCAACCTTTTGCTCGACACTCCGCCCGCTCACGAGCCACTGCTGTCCGCCCTCGGCGGCTTGACCGGCATCGAAGCTCACATCAACGAGAACCTCGATCATTGGAGCAAGAACCGCATCACGCCCTTCTTCATCTTTGACGGACAGTCCATCACCGGCCAAGACCAAGTATCTCTCGCCCGCCGGCGCAGCGCGAACCAGAAGACCGACGATGCGTGGAACCTATACTCACAATCCCAGGCCGAGCAGGCCGTGGCCACTTTTGGGGCCAACCCTGGTGAGCATTGCCACACTCCAGCTGAATCCCTGGCTGCATGGCTGACTGAAAGCTCGGCAGGCGCCTTTTGCGTTCGCAACCTATACCCCTTGCTTCAGAACATTCTGAAGAAGCGTGGCTTGCACTTCCTGGTGCCTCCTTACAATGCTTGCGCACAGGTGAGTCTTTCTGGGAGACGGGCACTCTGACAGGAACAGCCCGCTAACTTGACTTTGCTTCAGCTGGCGTACTTCGAGATGATCGACTCCGACCAATGCGCTGGTGTGATGGGCCCCCAGGAGCTCCTTCTCTACCCCGTCAAGGACTCCATCATCCGCAGCTTTGACTGGGAGGCCAAGACGGTGAGCTTTGTCTCAAAGAAGAAGGCCATGACGGGTCTCGGCGTGGGCGAGCCCATGTTCATTGACGCGATGCTCATGACCGGTACCTCGTTTCTTCCGCCATTCCCCCCTCTGCTCGACACCTCCATGTACCAAAACGCATTCACCGTCATGGACGCTGTCAACATGCTGCGCACCGCTGACAAGTCCATTGCGACCGCTTGTGCCTCGTTCAACGACATCTTGCAGGCCCAGGACCCCGCCTGGCTCGACAAATATCGCAAGTCGCGGATGGCTGTGCAGCATTTCATCTACATCGCCGAGAACGGCGAGGTCCGCGTCAACGACTTCGACAAGCTCACCAAGGACAACCACGAGTATCTCGGTCTGCAGCTCCCCGCTGAGCTATTCCACTATCTCAACACGGGTCTCATTGGCGCCAGAAACCTGAACTGTATAACGCACGGCCAGATCCTGATGCAACCGACCCTAGAGGGAGGCGCCACCGACGAGTACAAGAAGCTTGTGACCGACAAGATTCTGCCTCTGAAGGAGCAAGCTCTCGGCCTCATCATCCCCCGCGTCCACCGCGGCATCGGCCACAAGGACATCACTCTGCGTGTCTGGTTCGATCCCAAGTTTGCCTACACGATTAACCATCGGGCGCTGCAGCCCCCACCGTCGCAGAAGGTCGGCTCATGGGACGTCAAGGAGAGCGATCTCCGCAAGTTCTTCCCGGCCGATTTCGCGGGTCCCATCTACCTGGAGGTGCTGGCTCTTGCCAACTCGGACTTTGTGGAACTGACCCTGGCCAAGGAGAAGTTCATCAAGGGTATTGACACGACGGAGATGGTGACGTCGGTGGCCATTTGGCGATTCCTGCATCTGAGGGGCTATGTCAACGACGAACACAAGTTGACCAAGTGGGGCAATGCGCTTGCCACGACACTGCTGGCGCTCAAGGAGGCAAACGAAAACCGGCCTGAGGTGCCCGGCCTCGACGAGGCCGCTCTGCTCGCCTTCGAGCTCATCCGGCTCGGCGTCCTCACCGCCAAGTATCGCGAAGATGTTCCTGGCATGCCGCGGAAGGGGACCGAAGAGGAAAAGTCGAGCCTCGTTCTCATCAGTCAGTGCGCCACACTGCTGAAGCTGCGGCATCAGGTTTACGGATACACCGGGCCTCTTAACAAGGGCCTCTTGGCGTTCCGGTCGCTTTCCACCACGGTTCGAGAGGCGGACCGAGACCTGATTGAGGCCATTGTTGCCTCCATGTTCATGTACGGCCAGTGCAAGCGAGAGCGGGACGACTACTTGGATATCAGCCAGAGGTATGTGATGTAACCCAGATATGCACGGACAAGCATTTACTGACAGCCGTGTAGGCTTCCCTTCTTGCAGGAGCCTGACATCGGCCTTGGCATCGCGATCCGAACCTTCTTCGACGAGGACGAAGCGGGCGACAGCAAGGAAGCGCGCGCCGCACGACTGGCCGAGTTTCCGAGAACGTTTGTGCCTTTCGCTGAGGCATTGGCGGATGACTTCCGGCTGTGCGCAGACTTCGTCGGAGCGCTCAACCAGGGAGTGCAGACTGTCGACAGCATAGAGCTACCGGCCGCCGACAAGGCAGCCTGGGCCAAGGCCCAGCGGTACCTGGACGCAAGACCTTTTTGAGCCTCATAGGCGACGGCGCTGGTGTTTGGCGAACGGAAGAAGGTGATTGACCCAACAAAAGTACAGCATGGGCGGTTACGCCACCCCTGTTTTCAACTAGGCCATGGGGTCTGCACAGGCAGCTGGCATGGAAAGACGTTACCTTGACCTTGTCTCGTGCTGCTGCGGCAGCGACTACTCGAGAAGTTTGGCAGTGGATAGCTCACAGTGGTGGCGAACGGGGCGTGGGGATGTGAGCATGACTAGTCGGCAAGGCACAGGTACAGGCATAGACGTTGTCGGTGCCGAAGCCAGAAGACGGGAAGGCGGAGGGGCTCGGGGCAGAAGTGGCCGAGCTCGCTGTATGAGATATTTAAGCTTAGGCTGACACTGGGGCGACATGGACTGGACCCGAATCCTTGGCTTTGGTCACCGCGCCGAAGCGAGGGGACGGTGCAGGGAAGCTGGCCCGGCGTGCCCCGCGCCGCAAAAAGTCATGTACCGAGTAGAAAGATTAAGGCCCCTAAACAAAACATTACAAAGCCAGACGGATGTCCCACTTGCTTGGCGGTTTACCGTGACAAAGTTGCCGGTGCGGTCGGTCGGTGGACAAATCGACAGATGCCGGCCGGCAGTCTCTCCGGCACCAGCAGCCCGGTGCCCCACACGGAGGCGGAGTGGGCGCCCGGCCCGTTCCGTCACGCCCGGAGCTCCGGCCCCCTTTTTTGGGGCCCGTGTGCATCGAGCTTCCCCCGTCTTTACGCAGAACTTTGGCGAGCGTGGCAAAATGATGTGTTCAGTATGGAAGCTGGCCGTACCATGCTAGATATATAGATATTGTCTGGGGTTAACACGCTCCCGTCCCAAGTCTCGGACGTTTCCGCTTCACGCGCTCCCACCGGGCAGGGATGATGCAGGCAGTGCGGTCTTACTAATATCACGGCATTGGCCCTCAAGAGAATTGACAAACGAAACACAAAGAGCGAACAGAGAGGCTCCAAGTCGGTGTGTGGGCGCAGAGAGGGAACGGCGACGCCGACCGCCGCCGCCGCAGGAGGGTGGGTCGCAGAAGCGCGAGTCGAACGACGACAACGACGAGGGAACAATGACCCAAAAAAAGGTCGAGAGGGGGCATAGAGATGAGCTCACCGGAATTGGAAATGGCATACACAAGCCCTCTCGTATTCTCCCCCCTTCCCACAACATGTGTCCACGGGGAGCGGGTATGTAGCGCATGAATAATGCGAATGAAGGCATTGATTCGAACAAATCCGGAAGAAGGGAAAAGCAAATTCGGGCGCATAAAGTGACGGCGGACTGGGAGAGAGAGAGAGAGAGAGGTGGAGTTGATTGCGGCGTAGTCAAGCGCTTTTGGAGTCTTCTCGTCCACAACCGCCGCAGACCGTACGTATGCCTCGCCTTTGTACCCGTTAGAGAAGTGGCTGTGAGGAGAGCTAATGAGAGCTGCTTGGGGTTCGCGAGAGGCTCGCATATCATCAAGTCATTTCACATCAGCATTGAGAAGGTGTCCCTGGCTCACTTACATCTCGGCTCCGCGCGCGACCTCGACCTCGACGCCGCCTTATCCCGCCTGAACGGGCCCGCTCACGCCGACAGGCGAGCTCCCGTGTTGCTGTTCTCTGGACTTGCCGCTGACTCGCACAATTATGGGACAGCCTATTCCGGACGATTATGGATGTCCTCGTGCCTGACAAGGGGGCGCGTTCCGGCTCCCATGCGGACGGCGTGACACTTGACAGCTGTCGAGTGGGGGTATGGGCAAGATGACACCCTGATGCGGCGGCATCACTGAATCAGGCCTCGTTCAATGCCTCGCGTCTGCACAGAGCCCGGCGTTGGGGCGCTGGACACTCCGGAGGAGGAGGTTTAAAAGGCAGGCACGATGTCGCCTCTCCTCTCTAGGCTCTTCCCTCGCTTCCTTGTCCTGCAACCATATCACGCGGCCAGAGCGTTTCTTCTAGGCCGGCGCCGAGCCACACTCTTTTGTACCTTTTTGTTTTCTTCTTCAACATTCGTTCATTCCTTTTATTACAATATATGCACTTCACTTGAGTCACTCCTTGAAATACGCCATCACCGCCCACCATGCGTCCGCCGGGCTGGTTGTCCCTGGGCGCCGCCTTGCTGCACGTCTGCGCCGGAGCCGACGTACCCTCCGTGAAATACCAGCTCACAGATACGTACTCTGGAAGAAAGCTCCTGGACTTTTTCGAATTCACAACTGTAAGGCACAGATAGCCCCCGGGCCAGCTCTACTGCTGGCAAAACCCTCTCCCACATTCTCTGTCCTTGTAAAACGTACAGGCCGGTTCTTGTTTCGTTGACTGTTGGTTGGCTCTAGCCGAAAGACACTGCGGGCTCGGAACACCCGGACACGCTTCGATGGCTCCCAAGTACTGAATATGGGACTATCCCAGGTTTTGCAAAGTGGACCGAGAAGGGGTTGCTCACGTACTCTAAGACTAAGTTCTTGGGGGGCGAGAAACCCCGCGAGGCAACATGGTCGCGGTCCAGGACGGAATTTGGTCGCGGTTTGTTCGTGGTCAAGTTCACATCCCAGGCCGGAGGTTGCGCCGTGTCGCAGCACATGTAAGTCCCCCAACCCAAAGTGTCTGCTTTTCACATCACGCGCGCGCGCGCAGCAGCAGCAATAGCTGAGCTTGGTCATTTTGCATTTACTGACACCCGTGGCCAGCGACACCATGATCAGCCGAGCGCCTCTCCACTGGGAATGTCGCGTGACTTACAGCAAACGCTGGCCGGTGGGCCACGAGCAGAGGATCTCGGGCGTGCCCCAGGTGCAGGCCATCGTCCAGGACGACGAAAAGTACCAAGTCTTCATGTGGGAAGAGGGCAAGGAACCCGCCGACGTCAACTCGGACTCGCCGGACCCGTCGTCGTCGTGGGGCGAGCCCATCTTCGTCGCGGAGCTTCACAAGCCCACTGGGGACGGCGACGACAACAGCTGGTGCACCATGGACACCGCCGGCTTCTACCCGAACCGGCTCACGACTTACATCGAGTTTTGCATGAACCAGGACTGCTGGGAGGGGAAGCAATGCCTCGAGAAGTCGGGCTACCGGAACTGCAGGGCCATGGTCGCCAATAGCCCCGACCCGCAGTTCGTCGGCGAGCCTAGCTTTACCGTTAGGGAGGTTAGCATCTTCAAGCCTTGTGACGGTCAGGGCGGTTCGTCCGACGGTCAAGGTTCCTCTGCGCCCGCGAGGCTACCGATCCCGCCGTCGGAACCCCTTGAGGCTCCCGGTCTTGTTGCGGCTATACAGAAGGGAACTGCAGCTGAAAGGCTCCCGATCCCGCCGTCGGAACCCCTTGAGGCTCCTGGGCTTGTTGCGGCTATACAGAAGGGGACTGCGCCTGAGGCTCCGGAGCAGCCAGATTCACCTAAGACTCCTGGGCAGGTTGCGTCTATCCAGACGGAGGATGCGGGTGGAATGCTTCCGACTATTCCTGAGGAGGATGAGGGGGATCTGGAGGAGCTTGAGCCCCCCAAGGCTCCAGAGACGCCATCCGAGGCCCTTGAGGCTCCTGCTCAAGCTGTGTCTATATCGAAGCTGTCTGCGCCAAGAGGGCCACCGACTCCCCCCGAGGCTGCAGAGCCACCTGCCTCCCCTGACGAGGCCCCGGAGTCGCCTGAGCCTGATGAGTCTGAGCTTCCGCCATTCCGCCGCAAAGGGTTTCTCTCCTCTCTGACCAACATCATTGGGGCTTCACCGCCCCCGAAGTCCCATTTCATCGCGTTGAAGCCTGCGGGCCCCAAGGGCCCAGGGGCGGTAGCATGGCCTAAGGTTGAAGAACCTCCTCCGCCCCCCACGGGTCAAGCGGAATCTGAGCTTATCGAGGAGCCAATCATGCCGCCATCGGTCCGCCTCAAGTCTAAGGACATTAAGTTTCTAACGGACGTGATTGCGCCTGGCATGCGTCCGACTGCCCCTCACAAGGCCCCGAAGGCGAATGCACCCAAGGCTCCGAGGCCGTGGGAGGTTGCAGAGAACTCGATCACCCCACCGCCCCCTAAGGGCCCGATTTGGCCTGCGGATGGAGGGCCACCGCCCCCGCCTCCGATGCCCCCGGGTCCGGGTGGAGAGCCT